AGGGTATTTAGGGCAATTGAAAAAAATATGGTCGACTGTTCCTACGTCCAGCTCGCATTCACAAATAGAGCTGTCTTTGATCCTAATTTTTGCTAAGAAAGCGGGAGTGTTTGCGTGCCCTAACCGTAGACGACATACGGTGGATGTACATGCCTTAGATATATTTTTAAACTTAAAAAACCACGGTTTAGGAGGGATGGTGTCTTGAATATCGGCGTAATATTTTCCTACATTTTTACTTGATGATTTCCATTGAGCATTCATTAGGAACCGTAAGGTTGTATGTGTGGTCCCTAGTGTGGTAATGGAGACAACTGGCCAGGGAGACTAAAGGATAATTGTCTCCCTCCGAGCTAGGTGTTGTTAGCCCGGGGACCGCGGTCCAACCGATGTAGGTTGGACGTTCTATTTATGTTAATTGGTAATTAAACTTATTCTGTGTGATGTAGGTTTCTTTGTTCTAAATGTCTTGTAGTTATTAATTTATGCTGTTTGTATTGGTACAGCGCCATCTCGTTACTTGCTGTTGAAACTTATTGCAGTTCGTCTTGCTATCGATGGCTGTGACGATGCTTGTCTTCTCGCTATCGATTGTTGTGGCGATGTTACTGCGATGAATAAGATGTCGCTATGTATCAGTCGCCACAGTACTTTCCCCCTAGACCGAAGGTCGATCCATGTTGATAGTAGGTGGTATGCAGTCAGTGCTTCAGAGCTTGCAAGTGCCATGGTTGTGACGTCGGGACCGAAGCTGCTGCTGTGCAGGGCTGCCACGCCGCTGAGTTGTGTGTGAACTTAGGTCCGGTCGTGGGCTGCGAGGACCAGGTCGGAGTGATGCCGTCGTGTGGTACCAAGTATCCAGGAAGCGTCGTCGATGCTGCTGTGATGGACCTTGGTGTTGGCTGGCTTGCTGCTGAAGTGGCTGTGTGCTGGTGAGGGATGAGAAGCTGATGATGAAGGGTGAGAGGCTGTTGATAAAGAGTGATGGCTGCTTTGTGATGCTGAAGGTTGCTGATGTTCTGCTGGGGTCACCACTTTAGGAACCGTAATGGTTGCAATGTGTGGTCCCTATTGTGGTGATGGAGATAACTGGCCAGGGAGACTAAAGGATAATTGTCTCCCTCCGAGCTAGGTGTTATTAGCCCGGGGACCGCGGTCCAACCGATGTAGGTTGGACGTTCTATTTATGTTAATTGGTAATTAAACTTATTCTGTGTGATGTAGGTTTCTTTGTTCTAAATGTCTTGTAGTTATTAATTTATGCTGTTTGTATTGGTACAGCGCCATCTCGTTACTTGCTGTTGAAACTTATTGCAGTTCGTCTTGCTATCGATGGCTGTGACGATGCTTGTCTTCTCGCTATCGATTGTTGTGGCGATGTTACTGCGATGAATAAGATGTCGCTATGTATCAGTCGCCACAATTCCATGAACATAAACTCCGTTTAACTGCCAAGGAAATTAGATCGTAGGAGAATACTTCGTAATGAGACGGGATACCAATGTTAGCTGCTTCTTTTGCAATTAAGTCAACTGTCTCATTACCCCCCACACCGGAGTGGCCAGGAATCCAGGCTATGAGGACTCTTATTTTTTTAATATGGCATTTATATAGGACGTCTCTTATTTTTAGAACATAAGGGTAGTTGCATTTACTGCGAAAAGGATTTGCTAAAATAGTCTGAAGGCAACTTTTAGAGTCTGTGAAAATTATTGTCTTATCCAGATTATGCGACTCAATATACATAATCGCCTCAAGAATAGCGATAGCCTCTCCCGTGAAAACAGATGAGTCAGAAGGACATTTGAAACTGAGAATTATTTTGAATTTGGGGATCCATACAGCAGAACCTACATATTCTCCATCAGAGAGTTTTGAAGCATCAGTATAAACCACGAGCCAATCGCTCCAATTTTTAATGATCAAATCTTGTAGCAGATCTTCCGCATTTGGGGAATCTTTGAAAATGCCTACATCTAACAAGATGTTAGGACGATATATGAGAGAGTTGAATGAAATATTAAATAATGGGAGAATCGAACATTGGAATACTGGGGAGGGGAGTCTGATATAGCAAAGGAAGCTACGAAATAGATAAGGTATGGTTTTATGTTTCCAGAACATGTCATGAGATATAAATTCTGAAAGTAAATGTAATTTGTTAATAAGGAGGTGATTCGATTTCTGAATAATTTTGAAAAAGTATCTATCTGATAGGTATTGTCTTCGGATTTCTAATGGGGATTCAGAACATTCCACTTGCATAGCGTTGATAGAAGAAGATTTTTTAGCTCCCAAAATAATACGGAGACACTTGTACTGAATCTTATCAAGCGCTTTTAGAGATGATTTCAAACAAGGTTCCAAAAGAAATGAGGCATAGTCTAAATGGCTTCGAATTAAAGCATTGTACAATAGCTTTTGACAAAAAGGATGGGCTCCCCACCAAACGCCTGACAGTGATCGTATGATATTTAAATTTTTTTCACATTTCATTTTTTTCTTATGACATAACTAATTTAATTTGTTTTTGTCGAGATTGCTCAGGGCAAGAGGGATCAGTCGCTTTATGTTGGCCGGAGCAAAATAAACAAGTAGAAATATCTTTTTCACACGAAAATCCTTCGTGAGATTGTGCACAGATGAAACAGCGTGCCTGAGACCTGCAATGTGATTGGATATGGTCGAACCTACAGCATTTGTTGCATTGGATTGTAGGAAGAACATATGTCTCTACTGGAAGTGAGGTATAAAAGCAGTAGATATGTGAAGGAAGTTTTTGTCCAGAAAAAGTTAATACTATAGTTTGGGTGGGAATCCATTCTGGCGAATTGTTTATAAATGATTTCCTACAGAGTCGTCTTGCCTTTATAATTTGACCAAATCCTGTGGGAATTTCCAGGGCTTTGACTAGTTCTTCTAGGGTCCAATCTACAGGAACTTGACGTACTATGCCCATTCTAGTAATACTATAACGGGGGATGATAGCTTGATACTTGGCGGGAGTAAGTGAACTATGATCAAGGAAAGCATTGGCATCATTAAAAGATTTAAATTCCACGGAAATTCTGTTTCTACCAATACGTTTGACACCATCCTTCACTATATTTTTAATTTTGTTGATATATAAAAAATGTCCAAATTTAATAGGTCTAAAAACAGAACCAGAGCTGGGATCTGATATTATCTTGCTAACATGAACGACGAAAGGAGCAGAATCATGCTCTGTATATTTCATTTTATTGTCAGCAAAAAGCGGATTAATAAAAGTGATCTGATTTGAGGGGTTTGTCGGAGAAACAATTGATTTTTTGACAGGTAATGACGTAGACTGATCAGTTGTTGCCCGTTTCCTAGATGATTTATTGTTTACATCAGTCACCATCTGCGAGAATAGAGGAGGAGATGGATGAGTACAAGGCTCGTTCACACCCCCTCCTGGGTCCGGAGGTTCAGACATTTACACTACAAAGAAGAGAAGAAAAAAAAGGATTTCTTACGATTCCTTAAATTGTTATACCACCAATAAATTAAATTTGCACTTATTGTAGCACAACAGGACCGAAAAAAGAGAAATAAATTCGCAAAAAACTCGAAAATAATTCCAACGATTGTAGCTGACACAAAACCAAAGAGCAGAGTCCGAATATAGAAACAAATTCAGAACATTATTCGAATAGAGAGTATATATCAATTTATGTATATTCTTTTTTATTACTCTTTTTATAATTGCCAGAGTGTTTCAAAAATCTAAGATGATGAACTCTTTACGTGAATGTGAAATGTCTTTGTTTATGTTAGTAGTGCATATTGGAGTAACAATGACACATCACTAAAAGGAAGTAACCATAGAGGAGTAAAAAATCTGGATGGCTCTTCTTCGTGTGCGGTGTGTGTTAAGTTGAATGATGTGAGTCTAAATGTTAAATAAAGAAATATATGCTGACGGTTGGTTTCCGTAATTCACTATCCTCCATCCATAACCGTCAACAGTGCATATATATAAATATGTCATGTTCTATGTTCCCCACAAACGAACAGCAAGGTTATTATAACTTTAAATATAAATTTCAAAATCACTAAGACACGTATAGTTATTATACTATTGCTACTGATCTTGCATGTCGACGGCGGACGTCGAGCCATGTGTTAAGTTAATTCGTACGGTGGGTATGTGCTTTATGGTTCTTACAATAATATGTTAATAATAGATTGACTTCCTGCACAACCTACTCTATAAATCAGTTTTATTGAAATATATTATTTACTAAGTACCTAGTCATGTCATGCTCTCTTAAAATCTCGGCGGTGGTGTCGTGTGCGTTAGGTTGTAAAGTTCCTCAAATATAGTATAGTTGAAATTAAAAAAGTAACCCTTGCTGAGGTTCTTGCCAATTTTGTCAGTACAAGATCTCCCGCCTTAGTTTTGCGACCCATCGGCAAAGTTTTCGACTTTCAGAAGTACTATGAAATAGCCTAGACTGAATTGATTTTGATATTTATATTAATATCATTCGTTTTGTGGACGCATAATGACTCATACAAATACAAGCTGAATTCTCCACTCCGCTTTTTGTTCTTCAATCCAAAACTGAGTTCGGATAAAAGTTACGAGCAACCAATAAGTTGGCTCATCACTAATGTTGACATATCATCCAAACATCATTCCTTAACACGTTACATAATAAACAACTTAAACTTACGATTAAAATAAATTAAAATTAATTTGAAAGTTAGATATTATAAGAAACACAAAACGGTGTCATATTTATTAATTTTTCTGCATTTCTTCGTGTAAAATGAAAATTAAATGAATGAAAGTTGGCGATGATCGTCCCAGTAGCCAATGCTGTATACAAAACAAACGACAATGTCATGACTCTAACAAAAAATGTTGTCCGACAGAACCATTGGGTACTTGGGTACTTGCTTCGGCAGTACAAACCTATCGGTTAGGGAACTGTCAGAACAATTGTCAATTTGTCAAGTCTGTCACTGTCAGATTGCGGCTCTGTGAGTTTTAGTTGCAGGTTTTTAATAACTTAATATAAAGATGTCCTCCGATATGTCTGCAATCGAACTCCTTAAACTAGGAGATAGAGGAAGAACTAAACCTTTTCTCAATTTATATTGGCCTCATTTAATGGGAATTTGTTTTGGTATAGGCTCCGGATGTGCCATCAACTTTGGCACAAGACGTCCTTTGATGAGCGGTATTATTACATAATAAAAATAAAGCTTATAAGGATGATGTTTGGAAATAATCAAGCTCTTTATTGATGTTTTTGGCAGGTATTCAAAAACACGTTCTTGGAGTGGCTGGATGGATGGCCTTATTAACGTACGTTCAGAAGAAACGTGATGAATATTTAGCAGAAAAAAATGCAGTTTTAATACATTATGTTGAGCTACATCCTGACGATTTCCCAGTTCCAGGTAAAAATGATGTATCTAATGTTTCAAATGATTCAATATTTCAAAACTTGCTGATGGCCATCAAAGCATATATCTTATGGTACAAAATGGATGTTTTCATGTTTAAAACGTCAACGAATACTATGGTATTTTAATAACTTGTTTATTTTCTTATCTTAACATAAACATAAATGGGCCAAAATGAGTTTATATAAGCATAAACTCTACAAACAAAAAACAAACTTAAAATTTGTATCCACTAATTATATTAATGTCTAGATATGCAATTCATACTGTAAATGTGAAGCTACTACAACGTTTTTCGTAGTTGACATGCTCTTCATTCCAATACTCATTCAGCACCCACTGAGAGAATACAAAAAATTGCTCTGCAAAAACAAAGAAATACAGTGGAAAAATGCTATTCTCTTTCACAAATACACAAAATATGAATGAATTTTTTTCAAAATTAAAACCAACATTAAAACTTGTTAGAAAATAAAAATATTGAAAGAAAAAAAGAAAAACATTTTTTCTTTAATGTTGCTTTAATTTAATGTTGCGCTGCAATTCCCTTTCAATTTTCCTGTGTGGGAGTTTTTTATTTTACGTGGCTAATAATTATCTAAATATCTTATAATTTAATTATATAAATTAATGTTACTTTTGATGCTACTATTGAACATTATAAATTTAATTTATATCTATATTTGTATCTCCTTACAACTTTTCCATATTAACACACAGAAGCTCTGTTCATAATCCTACTTATAATTACTGCTCAAAAAGATATTGAGACTATAGACTGTATGTATATTAGGAGACAATAAATCCAAATCAATAGGACAGTAAGTGGGACAATTTAATTCAGACAACAGTGTAAATTTGAATATAAGTAACTTGGTGTTTTCGTATTCTAAACCCAAAGGATAAAACGGGAACACTATATTACTAAGACTTTGCTGTCAATCTGTCTATCTCATGAACCGTGAAGGTTAGACAATTAAAATTTTTTTTGAAACACCAAATACTAAAAATCAGAATAAAATTAATATTTTAGGGGGCTCCCATACAACAAACATGTTTTTTTTTTCTCGATATTGATAATGATAATAGTTAGACACTTGAAATATTTGCAGAATATGTATTTGTATAGTAACTTTAAAAATAAATATTATAGATTACAGATGTCATGTCGCCATTTTGTAATGTTGTAAGAAATTATTCAGTGAAAATACCAAGCAGAGATACATTAATTTTATTATTAAGTTCTTGTTATTTTTAATATTGTAATAGAAGGTAACATCACAGTCAAATAAGTACTTTTTAAATAAACTTATTTAAATAAAACCTCATTTCAGTGATCCTATCAGATAGGTGTTATATTTACGATTTGATTTATTTGTATAGTTTATAACATGGCCCATATTATATTATACATGCTGTCCAAAGTACCAGACGTTCTGCAACCGCCATTTCCAAGTACACCTTCAGTCTGATAAGTTATTACAAAAAAGTCATTGCAGAGAATAAGTAAATTTGAATTTATATTCGATCATTTAAAATACTACCCGTTTTTAAATACTAGCACTAGCTAGGTACTTAGACGTGTCACTAATCTGAAGCCAATCAAAATAACAAAAAAATTATTGTTACAGAAAGAAAGAAGATAGGCGATATTTTGGAACCATGGATCCCAATTCGTTAATATAATTTTAAATTAATTTATCACAATATGTCGTTATAGTAGGAATGAACTGGTGAAAATAAGAAACTTTTTAGTTTTGTTCTAATAAATTTATTGAATATGAATTGGATTTTCATTTCCCATTTTAATATAGTAGAACTTTAACGAACTAGTGCCTCTACCATCACTAAATACCACTTATAATCACATACTGGTATATAAATCTACCAATATCTTATGAAAGCCTTACGATAGTTGAGCCCGCACCTTACTTACACATTTTCTTTATTTTGCATAAAAAAAATTGTACGGGATAATATAGCCCTCAATAATGTACATTTACCTTATTTCCGTTGTAAACGGCCGACCAAAGGTTTGTACTACTTAATCGTCAAATATAATTTAACCGCATGTTTACTTATTTTACATTATATTAAAATCTATCGGCAGGTTAGGTGACGTTATTATAGTAACTTTCACGACCAATCGCATACAGGCACAACAAGGAGGCGTTAAGTATTATATAACTCAATTTGAGGGGGATCTTATAGAACACTCGTACAAAGCGTTACGCAACATCAGTTTTTTGGTTGAATACGAAAATAGGGAACTAAGATGTCCCAAAGTTGCCAAAGAACATTGTTATAATGTACATTTAAAATGTATTATGTAAGTGAGTTTATGCTGTAATGACTTCAAGAGGGAGATTTGTATTACCAGCTGCCGTTTTACAGGATTAAAACTAAATTTAGTCTTGGTTGTGTTATAGTAACTACCAATGTTCATCTAATTTAACTGTCGATTGACAGTTTTGTGAAACGGGACTATGGTATGATCCAAATGAGTAATGCGTTTCAAAAAGTAAATAAAAAAAATATTTTGACCACAAAATTTATTTATTTTACATCTACTATAAAATAAGTGAAATAATAAGCATTATTGTCTCTTGGTAGCGACCGTTTTAACTATTTTATGTTTTACGTATATTAATTATTTCTACTTTGTTATAAATAAATTATTCGTTCAATTTATTGGAATTGATTAACATATTTTATCGATATCGATATTTTTACCAACTTGGCAACCCTAAAGTATCCGGTGATTTTTTAGTAGCCAATAAACACCGCCGAAACTGACCTCGCCCCGCACCACAAATCGGTGAGACGTATTTGTACCAAGAATGAGCCGATGCGCTTTCCAGTATTCTCTATGTCCTGGCCTATAAAAAGTCTCATGCTAACTTGCCAGCGCAACTGTACCAAATAAATGCCAACTCATTTGAATGTTATATAAAGTTTATGGAGAGAGGGGTCAGAAAAAGGTTTCATGGGAGGAGGGAGGGTGAATAACATTCAAAAATAACGTAATCTTAAATGGCCCAAACAAAGGAAACGCTTTAAATCAAAAGGCTTCTTCAATATATTGTTATTTCATGTTGAGGCTTTGGGCCCCAACATAGACTACGCCAATAAATTATTGAAATTAATGACGACGCGCAAAAAAAAAACCATTTGATTATTTACAGTTACTTTTTAAACTTCCTACAATATAAATGCTTCATTAGCACAGTTCGAATTCACAACAAAATATGCATAATTTAAATATACCACAGATAACATTAATAAATTGAATGGAGCGTAAATCATTGACAACATCCAACATTTTAATAAAGTTAACTACTTAAACCGACTTACCTATACTGGAATAGAAATTTGTTAAAGAGAACTGTAACTCTTCATACATATAATATTTGAACTGTCATATCCTTTGTGATCGTGCAAATAATGATGGGCGAGAGTATTAAGATATTCAAAGTTTTCGCCACAAATGGCACAATTATGGTTTTCACCAACATAAATATCTTTTATGCTTTTTTGTCCATATGCAACTAGATTTTGATTATGCGGGTGTGGTTCCACTGGCATTGAAATATTTTGTGGTGGCTTATCATTGATGAGATGCTGTATATTATGATGATTCATGTCTTTCGGAGGATTCATTGGTATTTGGGGCATATCTTTACCCACATCTATTCCAATAATATCTATGTTTGTGCTACTATTATAATTATCATTCTGAGTCTTTGTGCTATGGGTAGATATTTGATGCTTTTTCATCTTATGTAATTTCTGAAATATAAAATTTAATATGCGTAAGCGTAAGTTATAGTGACCTTTAAATACTGTAGATTAACGCCTATGATCAAGAGTACTTACGAAATCTCTTAAGTGTATATATGCAGCTCCACATAACTCGCATTTAAAATTCTTCACGCCTCTATGTTTGTTCATATGCCGTGTTAGCTCACTTGATGTTATAAATGACTTTGAGCACAAAGAACATGACTGAAATATAAGAAAAAGAGTTATTAGTATTTTTCCTCTCAGCAATAATTTTCTTCCCGAAATTTAGATTAACTCTAGTTTGGGATATGTGAATCATTTTACTATATTATGTGAAATCCTTGCAGTGGCGAACTAAGGGGAGAGTTAGCGCTGTTTGCCCCGGATGGCCGGTCCAGGGAGGCCTCCAAATGGCTGCAGCCATCCGCCAAAATCCTAATATTATTATAAATTTAAAGGGGGCGAGGGGGGGGGGAATGCTTATCAAATTTGTGTCGGTTAAAAAAAAGTTGTCGATCCAGGCCTATTGCCACCCCGGGCCTCCGATAAGGTTAGTCCGCCACTGAATCCTTGTTATCTCTAAAAATAGTCACCATTGTCCTTAGTTTAAAATTTGTAATATTATTATTATTAGTTCTTTATAATTATAGATATTGAATACAATCGAACAGATACATATAACATTGTCTGTTCCGAGGGATGAAAAAACGAAGACCGTCAGAACTAAATGAAGTATGTATTTTTAAACCAAAAATAACATATCGAAAGTCTTAGAATAGGAAATTTTGTTTATTTGATTTTTCATCTTAGGGAGGCTACATAATACGCGGCGGACATAGGCTATAATTAACGCAGGCGAAGTCGCTGTGAAATCGATCAACATACCCTATATATTATACTTTACTCATTGATACCTACTATCTATAAGTCATAAAAAAATATACATAAAAGAGTAAAGTAGACATACTCGTTGAACATAGAAAATCTTCCTTACAGATTCTTAATGAATTCTAAATACGCAATCTTTTGTTTTTTAGCTGAAATGAGCCATATCATATTAATATGTAGGTGATATCTTTTGGAAAGCGTATTTTGTTTCGTTATAAAAGGAAAACTTTGATTTCGATAAAATTTAAATGAGACCACCTCGATCCATCAAGCTATCGAATAGGAATGGAATTTTGAAAATCGGTCAACAATTGACGAAAATATCGGTGAACATACATAAAGACGTCGAACATATAACCTCCTCCTTTTCGATTTTGAATTCGGGTAACAACTGAATAAGTGTTTTGACTCACACATTTAAAAAATAATTATTATTATCTACAAAACCGCATTATAACTATAAATATTAGACAACATCACATATATTGCTCAGATCTCAAATTAAGTACATATTAATGAAATCTGATACAAGATCGAAATTATTTTCTATATGGCCGGGAATCGAACCCGATACCTTAGAGTTGGCGACACTTTGAAAAAAAACCCACTCAGGATTACGCCGATATAGCATGATATAAATGTTATACTACGCATATACTGTAAATAACTAAAGGACTGTGCCATATCGTCAGCTTATTAACAAAATGTGTAACTCCGTGGGAATTGTGTGCAAATATCAATAGCCGTTCGGTGCCCACTGCTGAGCATAGGCCTCTCCCATGGGTCTCCACGACGATCGGTCTTGCGCTGTCCGCATCCAGCGGCTTCCTGCGACCTTTATTAGATCGTCGGTCCACCTGGTTGGGGGTCTTCCCATTGAGCGTCATCTGGAACGTGATCGCCATTCGAGAACTTTTCTGTCCCAACGGCCATCAGTTCTTCTCGGTATGTATCCCGCCAACTGCCTCTTCAGCTGAACAATGCTTTGAGCAATGTCGGTCACATTAGTTCTACTACGTATATCCTCGTTTCTTATTCGATACTTAGGAAAACACCTAACATTGCTCTCTCCGTTGCCCACAAGGTGACCTTAAGCCTTTAGTAAACGACCACGTTTCACTACCGTAAGTCATCACAGGCAACACACACTGGTCGAAGACTGAGGTAAATCGGATGCAAAGAGAACTCTTTCTCAAAGTTGAACTTACCTTGCAGGACTGTCTGTCCAAGGTCAACGTAATGGTCGACAACTTTCGAGTATTCTCAATTTTTACTGCAGTGGGTACAACATGGGTATTTGACATGATGTTTGTCTTTGCCATGTTCATCTTGAGACCCACTTTTTGATAAGCACTACTCAGATCTTCGAGCATGGTGTTCAGTTCTTTCAAGGTCTCAGCCATTAGAGCTATATAGTAGGCATTTGATAACATGGGTATTTGACATGATTTTTGTCTTTGTCATGTTCATCTTGAGACCCACTCTTTGAGGAGCACTCAGATATTCGGGCATGGTATATCTATATCGTAGGCAAAGCAAAGGTGTTTTAGATACTCACCATTGATATTAATGCCGTATCTTTTCTAGTCAAGAAGCTTAAAAATATCCACCAAAGCAGCGGTGAATAATTTTGGAGAAATAACATCTTGTCTCACGCCTCGCTGCAATTAGATTGAATTCGAGCTCTGGTCCTGTAATCGGACCGACATAGTGGCATTTTCATAAATGCACTTTAATATTAAAATGCATGGTACATGTAGTTTACTTGCTACCTTTGAGAGACTACAACACTGCCCGTGAATCGATCGACTGGAAAGCTTTCTTGTAGTCCACAAACGCCAAGCAAAGTGGAAGATTATACTCTTCAATCTTCTGTATAACTTGCCGCAGCGTATGAACGTGGTCTACGGTACTGTAGCCTCTTCGGAAACCGGCTTGTTCGGGAAATTGGAAGTCGTCAAACCTGCGAGCGAGACGATTCGTAATTCCAGTCCTAAAAGTAATTCCCGTAAATAATAAAAATAGTTTAACGGATAAAATTTAAATAACGGAGTTACGAATTTTGATAATTAGGCAGACGATATTTTGTAATTAATTAATGGAATGTTTAATAATGTGATTGATGATCCTTAATCTATACTTAAAGTATTAGAAGCCCTTAACTCATACAATGATATTGTCTCAAATAATAAATCAACGTAGTCAAACTTACATGATCTCTTTGACCCGTGTGTATTTTGAGATGTGCCTGGAGATTTCCTTGAGCAGAAAATCTTTTGCTAAAAAAATATTAGTCTACGTAAATCGAAATTGTCAAATTCTAGTTATTAAGAGTCTATCACATGAAAGTTGATCCTTTAGAAAACGACAAAAAATTCACCTTCATAGATATCGTGGACTAACAATTAAGTAGAAACAAATAATATTACTTTAATGAAATTTCATTATTAAGTTCTATGCCTATTTTGTTCTGTCCTTCCACTCTGACTTGTTGAACCGTTTGTAGTTGTGTGGATGGGAAGAAATTTAAATTAATAAAATATTTCCTACCAAAAAGTTGTTTCGTTGAAAAAGAAAACTAGTTAATCCATTTCACTGGTCAGTTTATTGGGTCTGAACAGAATATTTTTTCCCAAAATGTATATGTGATCGAACAGTTAGATTGGAATAAAACCCTTCATCGAGTTCCATTCTGCACAACTAGTTACTCGGTTTAGTTGGTCAGAGTGAAAGAACAGTTCTAGTATAAATTTTTGGAAGCGATTATGATTTGTAAATCAAAGTGATTGTGTGCATTTTCGTCTTTTTTAATAATTATAGGTATAATGAAAAGTTTTTATAAAACTACCTGTTGCCCTTGCCACTAATAAGTTTCATGAAAAAAAAATAGAAACTTTCATATGCTAGACAATATGGACTATTCAAAACATAAATACTAATAGCTTTAGCTCCAAGTCCACATTCAACCTTCGAACATACATAATTTACTAGAAATGATGACAGATTTGAGCAAAAAATTTAACAGTGGGCCGCTGGGACAGCAATCAAAAACTGGCTTTTACACGACTATCCATAAAAAGGAGTATTAGGGTTAATATATGTAGGTACGTACATATGTGAGTTTCTTTATTCCACCATAACTTTTGAAAGAGTTAACGGATACAAATGTAGAAGGGTATCATTTAAAACTTTACTTACAGCATTCCAAATAACATATTATTTAGATATTTAAAGCAAAAATAATATGTCGTATGTATAACGTCATTTAAAAATATGAAGAAATAATATGACTTGTATTGTAACAATATGGGTATCAATGAAAGGTTTTGATGAGTACATACCAAATATATATATATTTTATACCTACATTCTGGTTGTTAAAAAAAAACAAAATAATTATATAATAAAAAAATACAATCTCAAAACTGAACTAAAAATAAATTAAAAAATTGTATTATGGCCTGGCTAAACAAAATTCCCATTAGAGTCGAGAAACATTTCTGAAGAACATTTGTAACCTAAGCGGTCCCATCATATAAACTATTAATATGATGGTCAAAGGTGAATAGATATATTTTCAATTTATAAACAAAATATTGTGTCAGGAACAAATGCGGCAATTTCAACAACTTCATTAGATATTATCTTACCTACAAACTTCGCACTGGAACGGTTTCTCTCCGGTGTGGACACGGAGATGAATAGTTAAATTATGCTTCTGTGTAAATCGACGCGGACAATACATGCAGACAAAAGGTTTCTCCCCACTGTGTGTCCTATAAAGCAGATACAATATTATGCTTCTGTAAACCAATGCGGGACAATACAAGCGATCAAAAGGTTTATACATACTATATGTCCTACAATACATATTAAATACCTATGCTTCTGTGTTAACTAGGGTTTTAATATTATACTATATTTCAGGTTTGTGTATATTGTCGGAGACACATAGTACGCAAAAATACTATATGTCCATTCAATGACAGTTAATATTTAGTTAGGACTTAAAGTTCGGGATAAAAATTAACGCCTATACAATCCGACTCATTATTTAACAATTAAAAAATTACAAAAATAATTCCTTATCTAAATACACACTTTGAATTGAATTGACTAATTTACCAATGAATTGAATTCACTAATTCACGTCACTACTCTTACTTCACTTCAGAACCAATTTGATGCGAAAGAAATGAAATTTTTCTTCTTTTTAAGATTTGAGCTAGCGCGTTCGGTGTACGATGCGGTTAAGTTAAGTAAAGTCTTTATTGCACAACAAGAAAATGACACGAACATACATAAATATTTCTAAGACAAACTTAGCGCTAGCCAGCGATTTCTTAGAGGCAACCTAGCATAGGTGGAAAAACAACAACAAAAGATTGAAGAAAAATAGATAATTGATTCAAATGATCAAAATCAAAAGAATAACAGTTGAACAGCGTAAGTATAACTATGACGAGTTTACCTAATGTACGATAAAAATGATCACAAGAGCAGAGCACCCAAGCTTGGTTAAAGGAGAACGTGCCGGCACTCATCGCGGCAGACGAGTGGCCCTCCAGCCCCGCCCTCAACACGCAGGATTATTCTTTATGGACTGAATTAGAGTTTAAGGCCTGCCAAAAGTCCCACCCAAACTAGGAGTCACTGAAGCGAACCCTTATTCGAGAAGTAAGGCAAATTCCGCTAGAAAAGATTCGTGCCGCCATTGATGACTGGCCAAATCGTCTAAGGGCCTGTATTAATAACAAGGGCAGTCAATTTGAATAAAATATATATTTTATTGTTGATTATTGTCTATTTAATGGTTACTGAAATTTATATTAATTTATAAAAAGTTACGCAACTTTTATTTCATCCTAAAATTTATAAACACACGAGGTAGGTCTATGATTACTAAAGTTTTTTATTTTATTTTGAGACATTTGCAAGTTTTAATAATATCTAAGGATATTAAATATATTTTAATTAAAACTGGCTGATAGGCACCTATTTTTCTAAAAGAGACTGCAGCAGTTAGTGAAAAATTTAAACCAGATGTTGTTACATTTAGTATGTTTCTTAAAATAGTCATCAAATATATTAGCAATTTTATCATGAGATTTGATGGTCATATTATTATAATTAAGTGTCAGAATATCTCCACATATATCTTCCTTACCGGTTTCACGGTTTTGTTTTGATTTTGTTATTGGAATTGTTTATTTTCTCTCTAATCCTATATGTGGTTTTTAGTCCGTAATGGTCAGATATTGGATCATAATCAGAATATACATTATCCAAACAAGTGACCTAAATGTGCTGTTAGTCTAGAAGCTCAAGAAATCAATTCAAGCATTTAAATGATAAAATCACCACATACAACCAAATATTTGTTTTTGTCTGTAATTTCTTAAGTACATACATCTTCAATTACAAATTCAAAAGTTCCACAGTCACTATCAGGAAGTTGGTATACACATACTACAATTAAACTATTTAACTCCATACAGGATAGCTCAATATAATGTTCTATTGGAAGATTAACTATATCTTTACATTCCTCAAACTTGAAATGATTATTTATAAATATTAATGATCCTCCCCGCTGGGCTTTCATATGTGTATACAAACTCAGCATTTGAAAATTATTTCAATAAAATGACTTTTCACAAAGCCTTAGCCAATGCTCCGTTATACAAAATATAAGTATACCATGTTCTTTTGCAAACAATTCTAATTCTAAATTTTTACCAGTCAAATCCTGAATATTTTGGTGAATAATGAAAAATTAAATGAAAATGGGAGTGGAAGTGAAGTGGGAGTCATAAAATTACCAACTTAATTAATTCAAATACATTTTATTTTATATTTACTTTTTGCTTCATTTAACAAGTGACATCCTATGTGTGCAATATTAGGAAGGATTAATAAGTAAATAAATAAATGATGGATACAACTTTAGACAAACATACACTATTTATTATAGTACATAATAATTATTGAAAAAGCAATGTCTCCATATTAGTTTTTTCCAGAGAGGTTATAATCAGAGTAGGTAATAAATTAGAAAAGCTTATAAAATACGTGCCTCACATGCATTTCTAGTTGAGCTTGACATCGAAACTGCTTGTCACACTGGTAACAATTATGTTCTTGCTTTGGCTTTGGTTTTGGTCCTCGTTTTTGCTTTTCAGATTCTGGTTTCTTTTTATAATTCGAAATAGTTTTTCTTTGTTCTGCTATCTTACATCTACTATATTTAAAAAATAAATTATGGTCATTAACTTTTATTTTATCATAAATCATAAGTTATATTTCATTTAAGACTCACCATTTCTTAATTATAGTGGTATGAACAGGAGTCTGCAATAAGTATAACAACTGATATTATGAAAACATCTTAAAACTAAATACAGTCAAATTCTAAAAGTAGTACTTACAATAGGATCTGTCATAACAGCAACATCACTGCACCTATTCAAAACATTAAAATAAGAAAACATCCTACAGTAAAATAGAAAATAATATGTAGTGATTTTATAACTATCTTACTTTTCTGGCACTCTGAGGCCTAGATACTGCCGCAAACGTAGATCAGCACTTTCACAGGTTTGTTTAAAATGGTATGCGATGCCCAGTTTGTATATACAATTGCTGCACATCTGTTCTGGCAAACCATCATTCTTGCTAATCTATAATGAAGAAATATAATAAATTCGACTTATTGTAACTGCTTTTCTCCTAATTTAAAAAAGATATTAAAATCAATTATTTCAATAAAAAAAGATCTGTAATCTTAAATATTAAACTACAATCGAAAACTTACCTTAATAACAGAACAATATTCAATCATATCACTTAAAGACAAATTAAAATTCTTCATAAATATTGAGGACATAACTCCCTCCTCTAGACATATCCGGCAAATTTTATTCATCTCCTTCGCCACATTAAGTTTTTTCTGTTAGGTATCACTTGTTTATTAGCTTAATATTAATAAAAGAAAAATCAAAATAAGGAAGCTTAAAAAAAATATGTATACAACCACAAAACAACCGCGAGTTTTATTTAATGATGTGCGGAATCGATTATCATTAATCGATTAATCGATTTTTTATATAATCAGTTGATATCGATTATGATTTCCAAATCGACGATTAACCATCGATTATTTCTTAAAACATTAGCAATAGGAATAGTTTAAAACGTTGGTATAGTACCTACTTACATTATTTCGATGGCAACCCATAGCGGATCACGAGTGTGAATATTATTAGTAGATATTCTATTACTTATAATGGCAACCCTGGAATACTCCCATGAACAAATAGGTAACTTTACTCTTTGGTCGGGGAACTCCCGATGAATGAATGACCGTTTCTTACAGTTTTATTTTAACAAATACAAATTAACCGTTTCTTACTGTTGAGGGAGACCTTCTTGGTTTAAGGACTTCTTAATTCATTTAAATTAAAATATTGACATTTTATTGACGTCTATTGTTATTATATATTGAAAAAGACTTTTCGTAAAGCTGTCGGTGAGTGTCGGTGCTGTTATTTATAAAGGAAATATATATTTTTTGGTGGTAAATAAACTCATGTGATCTAAAAGCTTCCTGGTCTTTCTTTATACCCTTTTTACCATCGGGTATCACTTACTAAATGCACATGAAAGTATACACGGTACATACCTATACCAAAATAATATTTTTTACATTTTTTGTGTTTGTTTGTTACGGCTAAACTCTGAAACGGGAACGAAAACGGGACTTTCATGGCAGATAGCTTATGTAATAAGGAATGAATAAGTATAAAAAAACGAAAGCAATTAAAAAGCAGCTTCACTAGATGGCGACTCTAGCAAAAGTTGATTTTTGCAGGAAACGAATGGACCAAAGACAGTGATTTCCGTTCCTTTTAACTAACATTAATATGTTAAAACTGAAATTTGAAGAGTTCGCAACTAATAATTAGATACCAATACAAATACGAAAAAGTACAAATAAAATATGAGTTTTTTATTTAGTTTTGAAAACGAATTTACTTTTAAACATAAAAGAAAACCGGTAGGGTTCTCATGGAGAAATCAATAACGTACCGTAGCGACATCTAGTTTGATTTCGGGAACTAATATTTTTTTTAATACTTCCTCATTACTAAGGCTACTTTCCATGCTGACGAAACCGCGAATACAGCTAGTAAAATTCCATAAATTTTGCATATACAATCCTGGTATAGTGAACATTGTCTTAAAATTGATTTTTAACTATTCTTCATTAACTCGGATGGCTTTGAAATACGGTGGAATTAATCTGAAATCATTAATAAACTTTTGGGGTAAAAATATTTAATAATCATTGTCACTAATCCATTATTATCAATTATTAATCGATTACGAGTAATACTATGATCGATTAATCAATGTTTACAATAATCGAATCGGCACATCATTATTTTATTTAATTTTTTTTCTTTTAAGGCAAAGATCTAATGACCATGCAGCCTTGTACTAAGTACTGAACTCATCTAATTTATTTATAGAGCATGTCTTATTGCTTTCAAGTATTTAAAAATATGTGTATATATATCTTGGTTACTCATCATTGCTTGAATGGAGCGCGGAACTTTGTCAGGTAAACATTAAATTTGTTAATATTAAATTTTCGCAAAAATATAGTACTGGCTATATGATCACTTATTTTCTTATCTACAAACCTTGTTAAACTTTTGATAGGCTTTTCGTGCAATTCGATATCGATAAACTGACTTTATCAAATTTCTTTTTTTACCCAGTCATCATCCCTTTTGTATGAGTGCTCGACCTACTCGATCTACTTTTGCGCAATCTCATATGCACGGGTATACTATTCAATTTGACAAAAAATATGGTCATACCCCTGCTATATAAATAAATGAAAAGCTCGATGGTTACCGTGTTTGATCTGCGATTGAGGAAATTAAGCCGCGATCGCAAAAGCTGGTAATAGGATGGGTGATCAAATTTTTTTTCGGAATTATTTCATAATTATTATCACGTCCGTCCCTTTTACGTCCCCACTGCAGGGGTTCATGGTTAAGAAGGATGGGCCACGACCCTCCACACTGGCCCAATGCGGATTGGAGGGTATTAAAGACTGCAAATGCAGCCGGTACCAAAGGCTTACCGTGCCTTCCGAAGCACGGAGTAGCTCTAGAGAATTTTTTTAGTCACCCGTCACCAACCCTTGCGAAAGTTACTTAACAACAATGATCGCTGTCCGCGGTGCTTATCCACTACGCCACTGAGCTACTCACGCCATCGTACTTAGAAAAAAATATTTTATATTACGGATCTCCAATAAGTCTGTAGAATTGCATCACGCTCCATTGAGAGTAAAAACCTTAGCATGAGGAGGTCTCATTCCTTTAAAATAATATACAATTTCTTAAAAGAATCTATAGTTCTTAAAATATAGCTTGATCTCTGTGACAGATGTCAATGAAACCAACGAAGTAACTTTGAACAAGCGTAATGTTTACAATGTCATTTTGTATCACTTATATTTTTATTCTTTACGTATGGGTATTATCACAAATGAACTGCAATGCATTATAAATATAAAAATTCACCTATAACGTATTTCGTAAGTTATAAAACTACTAGCTATGACTTTATAAAAATGTAACGCTTACCGCATTACAAGGTCATACTGGACTAACAAAAAGATAGAGATGTGACAGTCGATAAATGTAAATACGATAATCTTTATCCAATCTATACTAATATTATAAAGAGAAAAGACTATTATTTGTTGGTTTGTTTGCATATACATGCTTAAAAAAATAAGATTATGTGGTGATACAATTAAATACATAATGATTATTGTTAATAACATAAACCTATTTATTCATAAATAAAACAGTTGCAATCGTTACATTAATCATTGTGGCAGCACCATGCAGTGACGCCCGCAGCCATGTTGATTATTGTGCGTCATGTATCATCTCATGTCATTCAGTACGAGTGCCGACGCCTTGTATGCGCTACGTTTGTTTCTGTTTTGGTGGTTGTCCCGTTAATTAAAGTGTTACGCTTGATTGTTAAGTTTTGTTTTTAGTGGTGGTTGATTAGTTAAAGTTTATTGTTAGGTTTTTTTGTTAAGTTTGTTTTTTTTTTGTATCACGATGCCAAAGAGAGCAAAAAAGACAGTTCTTAATAGTGAATGCCGTGAGTTTGTGGTTCGCTTACGGGACTATTTTGAACGCGAGAACCAAAATGGCGGGCCGTTGTTGCCATTAACGCAAGTGTGCGAACGAGTTGCTGACGCTCTTGGCATTGGTAGAGCTACTGTAGTTCGTATTAATAAGGAAAAATATGGAGAAGGATCAAGCGATGCGCCAAAGGTAGATGCTGATAAAAAATTATCAACTCCAAACAAAAAAAGAAAAAAGCTTCACCGGTCTCGGATATCGACGATTTCGACGCTGCTGCTATCCGGAATCATATTTATGGATATTATAACCGAGGCGAATACCCAACACTCATAAAGTTGAGTGTGTCTCTTAAAGACGCAGATTTATTTAAAGGAAGCTTGCCAAGTCTATCCAAAATATTTAAAAAATATAGGCTTTAAATATAAAAAAAAGCAATCGAAGGAAAATTGTAATGAAAAGAACGGACATTGCTCTCGCCCGCATTGATTTTTTAAGAAATATAAAAATGGTTTGGTACTGACTGGGACAAGATAGCTTTTCTGGATGAAACGTGGCTAAATGCAAACCACACAGTCTCAAAGTCATGGACAGACGACAAAGCAGACTGCACCATGAAGGTCCCTGAAGGCAAGGGACAACGACTGATAATTTTACATGCTGGAACGTCAACCGGTTTTGTACCAAATTGTTTTTGGCGTCCAAATCCGTGAAAACCACAGATTATCATGAAGAGATGAATTTCGAGAAATTTAGAGAGTGGTTTCTAATCCTTTTAAATAACTTAAAGGAACCACACACTATCGTAATGGACAACGCTTCATACTATTCGGTGCAAAGAGATAAGGCTCCGACAAGCAATAATCGAAAGAACGAAATTATTTCATGGCTGCAAAACAAAGGAGTTGACCTCCACTATTAAAAAAAGAATTGCTCCGATTGGTGAATATTCACAAACCTCGCACTCCTGTATACGTATTGGATGAGATCGCTAAAGCAGTGGGACATACTGTAATCCGATTGCCACCGTATCATTGCCAATATAATGCGATCGAATTGATCTGGGCTCAAGTCAAAGGTTTGTTGATTTTTTTTTTTATTTGTAATATTGTAGTCTGTTTCTTATTTCAATGTTATTGACGCATAGTCAATATACAAGTTTACATAGTCATACCAATATTTTGGTTAAAATCGTAAATATTTCATTATAATTTTCAGGTCACGCAGCTAGACACAACACAACTCCGCCTTTCACTGCAAATAAGATGCTCACATTATTAAATAATGCCTGTGAACATGTGACACCAAACGACTGGAAGAATGTTGTTGCTAAAATAAAAAAAAAAGGTAGAAGAGGATTGGGATCGTGATTGCAATTTCGATTCAATTTGTGAGCAACAATTCATTATCGATCTACAAGATTACTGTAGCGATTCGGAGTATAATGAAGATTATGATGATGACGATGATGACCTTACCTGTGCTCTTTTCGATCAATAAATACAATCAATTTACAGTTTTTGTTTAATTTAAATGTAATTCATCTTGATTAACTTTTGTGCACATTGTAATATTATATTTAGTATAATCCCCACAAATTGCTAATGCACATGGTGGCCATTTTGATGGCGTAAGTGTGAAGTAATTTATCTCATGCATTTTGTGCTATCTATAGTTTCTATTTTTAAAATAACGTCACGCGGGTGTTATTTGGAAAAGGTTCCAGTGAATTATCAATTAAAGGGACTTATATTACAATATTTTTATTGTATACATTAAAGAGAAATGTTACTTTTTCAAAAATATTGTTTATCTAATTGTAAAATAACCTCCAATGAGAATGAATGTTTTTAAACCTAGATCCATTATTCTCTTTTATGTTCATAGTCCGATTGTAAATAAATAAATAATCAAAAGATAATAATATCCTCATTGATTATTTTCAATCATCTAAAATCAGTTTTTAAAATATAAAGAGTTCTATCGACAAAACGGATTATATCGTAAGTGTCACAGCTCTATATCAAGCTATATTTTAAGAACTATAGGCAAATGTAATATCATAACAGTAAATATTGTCATATATATATATATATATATATATATATATATATATATATATATTCATAACGTTGATTCTAATAAACATTTCTTTTAAAAACAAATATTAAAAAAATAATCGTTACATTAATTAAAAATTGTTTTATGAAGTTAATAAGACCGTGATGTCGTAATGAATAAAATTTAATTTCATTTGTTGAAATATTTTTAAGCACTTTCACAGTGACGACTATATACAACTTAATTTTCACGTACCTGCTCCCATCTTTTGACATTTTTGTTGCGTTTCTTATTTTTTTGGAAATCTGTATTTATACTTTGCTATAACCACATACATCATCATCCACATATTGACTTAAACTTCATGATAAACATAGTTGTCAGATTTACAATGTTTCTGTTGTTGCTTTTATCTTAATCGTGAAAAATCGTATTGAACCACTACAAGATTCACTTGGATAAACATAAATGCACACTTTTCACCATTTTAACTGGTGGAATGTATAAAAAACTACGGTAGAAAATAAGTGAACAAATAGCCTTAACAACAAATATGTTTTTGTAGTAGTTTAATCTTAACCAAATTAATGTGATTAATTAATGACTTAAAATTTTAAATCGGTTACTATTAAAATACAAATGTTTCTACTAAGTTAATTATAATTTAATTTTTTAATGAACGATCTTTTTTTATAATTGCAAGATGAAAGAAAGAGACATACGGCTTCCATTGTGACTATCTTTTTCGGCTCGGATTACCTTCTGTACAAAATGCAATTTAAAATATACTTTAAAACATTACGATAAGGTTTATTTTTGTAATTACAATTTTTCGGAGTTACACGTCCTGTTTACGTACTATGTTCATGATTGTGACCAGTCATATTGTCTGTGATTTATGCTTTTACCCTTTGTTTGATATGTATACTTCTTCTCTTTTTTTAATTCCACCATCTTGGCTGTGTGCGTCTTGGTCTGTGGACTTCGCCAACTGTCGATTGACTCTGCCGTCGATGTTATTTTGGACTGTTAGATCCTTATTTTGATCTAATTTTTGGTGTATGCGATACGCGTTAGATTTATATTCTAACCCATTTCTAAATTTATTGAATTATAACATTACAAAAACAAAATGTCGAGTACATCACAAAAACACAGAAACTTTGTTGCCGAGCCCATGGGTGAGAAACCTGTCACAGATCTTGCCGGCGTGGGTGAAGTTTTAGGTAAAAGACTTGATACAGCAGGATTTGATAAGGTTAGTTGGTTGATTTGATTTAAAATACTTAAAAACTACAACCCTAAGTAATATTTTTTGTAATTGTCACATTCAAAATTATTAACCCTTACGGTAATTATTCAGAATCTTGTGTGAAAATTGTATTTTCTTTTTATTTTCGACAGCACATTAACGCATATTGGAATTTATTTTAGTTGTTGCTGAGATTTGTTTTTAATTTAAAAAACGCTAAATATAATAAATACATGTTAGACAACATCACATACCCATATTGCGTTAATCAAAAATATTATCAGCCATAATTGAGACAAACTATATTAATATCAACATACTACTTTGGGATCATAAACCATTCTATCTATAGATATAGTAGGATGTATGACAACAAACATCCTAATATAAAATGAGATTTTATTTTATTTTTTTAATTAATGCACATTCTATTAAGTTTCACACACTATGCAGATACGATAATATACAAGAGGATACATTTAGTTGAAATCTTTCAAATTGGTTGGACTTGTTTTATTATGGGGATTATTTATATAGAGGGTTAAAATGACATTGCATTTATTGCATATGGATATACTAGACAGACAGACTAACAGATATCTGACACTATAAGTAATTAAACTAGTATTCTCTTGGTATTGTAATTGTATTTTATTTTCTATGTGTTAAAAATAAGTTTTTTATTCAATTTACTTGCCCTATAAAAATAAAATAATATATTATATTAATAATAAATTGTTAATATAATCCTTATTAAATGCTATGTACTATACATAGCATTTAGTAAGGATTATATTAACAATTTATGAACTTCTATAATATTTTATATTATATTCTTTAATTTTCAGGCATATGTGGTTCTGGGACAGTTTTTAGTTTTGAAAAAGGATAAAGAACTTTTTCAAGAGTGGATGAAAGAGACCTGCAGTGCGAATTCAAAGCAGTCTGCTGATTGCTACCAATGTCTAAAAGATTGGTGTGATGAATTTCTGTAAATCATTAATTTTTGTAATTGTGTATAATATTTCGAATATTAATATTTTTTTACAAGTTGTACATACATGTTAAGTGAAATGAGGTCAATTTTAGACATCTTAAAATAATAGACATTATGATATTTAAGTAGTTTCTGTATGTGTGTGGTTTTTTATAGATAATTCTTATATTTTGTCTCATAATTAATAAATATAAGTAATAAACATTTCTTAATAATATGCATACTTTTCTTTTGTATCAATAACCATATAGTTCAGGAATGCCAGACTTTTATTCTTTTCAATAGAATTGGAGATATTTCTGGGTGTGCCTGCGATAACTTGACGCTTAAAGCAGAGTATAAGAGTAAATGCTCTTCATACATACGCACCAAAATGGTTTGTATGTGGGCGCGCCCGTGCGTTTGCGTCGTCGCACACACACATTTACAAAATTATCGAAGTTCAATCAAAGCACGAGTGGCAACTCGCCAGTCGTGGCTAGTACGTCGTGCTTGCTTATATTTCACGTCGCTGTATTATCGCTCTTTATAATATTTTTGGACGTAAACAAGATAGCTTTGAAAACTAAACCAAAATAAAGTATATGCATTTTTGAATCGAGCATATGATATTTTACATTTTTTATAAATCAAGTACATGGTATTTCGTTCTTTAGGTATTCGGGTAATAATATCATAAGTAAACAAAAAGTAAACTAAAACACTAAATTGATGACATGCTTGACGTAGATATGAAAAAATATTGTAGCAACTCCTGGTGTATATATTAAAAAAACATTAAAAAATTGTATAATAGTTCCCGGATGCTTACCATTCTGGGGGAAACTATATTTTAGAGATTGATAGACCATTTCTAACGATTGAATAACCTATAAGCGACAGCCCTACATGTTTAGGCTATTATCTCTCGCTCTGGTCTCAAGTGCACCTACTTATATATTTGTACTGTGCTTAAAAGCAACGACAATTCCAAAAAAACGATTTAAAACGAATGATTTAGGATTTTGCTAATAAATCCATATGACAATTGTCACAGTCTAAATATAAGTTGACAGTGGTGAAACTGCCTACAACCGTTCGAAATCGCACGCACACGTAAATACGCTCACCGACGAATCGCCTAAGAGCTGGTTCCCACTTGTCGGGTGTCGGATCCGTATATTAATCGGAGGTTCTAGTGGCAGAGCATGTTATATGAAGCTATTCACACGTGTCGGAAACCGATTATGTGTCGGCGCCGACAATAAATGTCGTGTGTTTTGCCAGCGCTTATCGCCTGGAAAAAAATCGTGTCGGATCTCGCTCGCCTTTAAGTTAGAATAGCGCTGTTCAAATTTGTCGGGTGTCGGGGCCGACTACCCTCCCCCGCTACCCCTTTTTCCGTTCGTTCTAATTAAAAAACTTGATTTCGTCCCTTCTCAATTCTGTTATTAGATTCTGAAATGTTCCCAAACCAAATCGTTCTCTCAGGATTGGAAGCACCCAATATTTTCTTTCCTTCGCTCTCTTCTTTTGTTTTCTTCTTAAATAATACACAACAACAAGAACTTCGTCGGCGTCCATCGTGCACAGTCGCCTCTCGTAGAGTAGAGTGCTTAAAATTGATGAGCTTGGCCGTGGTGGCCGACAACCTATTATTAACCGAAGTGTGAATAAAGGCGCCGATATCCGATTAAAATACGGTTTCGCAGGCCGACAAGTGGAAACGAGCTCTAAGTGAGTAATAATTTGTGGGCGGACGTACATACCTCTTGATACCAAATTCAAAGATGATCTTGAATTCGAATAGAAAATTTTGAGACATCTATAAATACTACGTGGGATTTTTTTCTATATTTTATTAAGAAAATAACTAAAATAAAATAAACCTTTAAGAAATTGTAATAAAGAGAAACGACTGAAAAGAGAGAAATAATATCATAAAGTTTTATATTCAATAAGATCTAAACAATAGGTGTATGTAGCAACAATTTTGACGTCGGTGCCAGGTATTTACTAGAAAAATAGATTTTGTGATAGTACTGTTTTATTCACTTCTTACTAATGGCACGGCATGATCAATATACAAGTATCGGGTTGAGTGGGGTGGGGTGGAATAGGCGTCTTTCTTTCTTTCGTCTCTTTCTTTTTTTTTTCTTTCACTTGCTTAATAACGTCTAAAGAAAATTTGGTTACCTATCCCATTACCGGGGTTTACAACGCGATATCGATCATCGATGTCGAACAGTGTTCTGTGATTTCGAAAACCCTACGAACGCCTGTTCGAACAAAACCCTTAATAAAAAATATACTACTCTGTATATTTCACTTAACAATTTCTTTCTTTCTTTCTGTCAAGAAAGTACCAGGAAAAGATCCATAATACACAAATTGTTATTTAATTCATTCAAATTTATTTTATTACCTTCAAAGTTTGCTCCTTCAGAAACGAACAAATAATCCAATCATCAAAAGATTCTTTCTCCGAAATTAATCTGCGTCTTCTGGGCTTCGTTTTTATGAAGCTCGTTAACTGCAGCTTCAAAAACGGCGAACCACAATCGTGGTTTATCGCGCCAGAATGGTGGTATGCCGAGTGGGAGTGCGACGCTGGAGATTTCATGCGATGTGGACGGCGACGGTGGGTTTTCCTCCGTGTTTATCATCTTTTGAATGTTTTCTTGCAGGAGAAAAATGCGTTTTGAAACAGGATCACGTAGTTCTTCGAGTCTTCGATGTCGTGTCGTTTCAGGATCACGTCGTTTGAATATCACGTCGGGGTCACCATTTTGGCAACTCTGATCGGGTCATAGGCTTGCTTATCGTCAGGTAGTAAAACTCATTAGAATGTGGAAGGATGGAATGTTTTATTTACAAATCTTACAGCTACTTATACTAAAACGTAATATAATATTAACCAATTTAAATTCCTTAAAATAATAAATACAAACTTAACCAATGAGAAATGTACATTTTAAACCAATTACAAGAAAGCTACAATATTTACAATGGAAGGGGAAAGTGCCGAGAGGAAAGGGAAAGGGACTGACACGAGGGGCGAGGGATCGTGTAACGTGGCGTATAAAGGCTGGCATTGATTTAAGGAGATCCTTTTTGCCAGGCGTCGGGTGAGTGTGCGGGTAACTCCTTTGTTTCATGCGGACAGTGACGTTGAAATAGTTCTTTTAAGAGCTTCTTATTTCCTTGGCATTCTTATTTCATTGGATATAGATAGATAGATGAACTCTTTATTGCTCACACACAAATGAAAGTTTACAGGAAATTTATTTATCGCTAAAAGCGATCTCTTCCAGACAACCCTTGTGTTAAAGGACAACTGTCCGAAGGATGTGGTAGTGTCCTAACATTTACAATAGAATTACAAAATAATATCCTAATAGATATATTACTCTAATAAATAATACATACTACTAATACGCATTAACTATAAACTACAATTACACTACGTATACATAATAAATCTATCCGTTCTAATGCAGACTAAGACTTATCCAGCAGGTACTCGTGAAGGTCTCTCATAAAAACATTAACAGATTTTGCCTGCCGGATATCAGACGGCAACTCATTCCACAGTCTGGCAGCCTTAATAGTAAATGACTCATGGTAGTAACCTGATCTAGTGAGAGGAATTTCCAGCACACCATCAGACTCCGAACGTAAACTGCGGGTGTGGTTTGCACCCAAAAACCGGAAACGCTCCTTAAGGTAAACTGGAGTGCGAGGGTCGTAAAGGATTTTGTACAGTAGCGTTAACGTGTGCTCCTCCTGGCGTCGTCGAACAGGAAGCCATTTGGATATACAAATAAATTTTCCATTAACTGATTTAGTCTTATTACTGTCTTACTGGTGGTGTAGCCACAACTTCAATTCTCGTTGCGAATTCTCCTTTATGTCTTCTACGGAATAAAAAAACGAGTGCCAAGAAATGGTAATTTATGTTTTGCAAAAAGAAAAAAATCAGCTGGAGCCATATCTGGTAAATATGGTAGTTGCTCGATGGTATTAGTTGAGTGTTGGTCAAAAATTCTTTCACAATGATACCCTTGTGCGAAGAATTTTCTTTCCACAAATCAGGCCTTTTTCATCGACTTTGCTCTCTTAATATATAACGCTCACGTAATATTCCTTATTTACAGTTTGACCTTCCGGCAAGAAAACAGTCAACATGACTTTGACTTTTGAACGATTTTGACGTGTTTTTTTCGGTTTCAGTTCTTGCTTGTTGACTAGTTTGCACGTCAAACTCGTAAACTCACGTCTCGTCACCAGTAACAATGCGTTTCATGAATGTTGGGTCGGAATTGACTTGTTCTAGCATGTCCTCAGGCGCTCATGCGATCGAGTTTTAGGAGAAAATTCAGCGGCAACATGTTTCATATCCAAATGATTAGTTAAAATGGTACGAATCGACTCGTGAGCTAAAGAAAGTTCGGCGGATATCTCTTTCAAAGTTGAATGAGGTCTTTCAGTCACTTTTTCTTTCACTTTTGCGATGTTTGCTTCAGTTGCAGACGTTGATGGCGAGCGAGGCAAATCTTCCATCACTTCTCGACCGCTTTTGAATGCTTTGCACCACTCCTAAGCACGAGTTTTTGGGTATGTTCCGATATACACTGCGAGCACTGCGCAGTGGTCTTACTGCTGAAAAATCCGTTCCGTTATGGACTGCCAGTACACTGCTACAGTACCCTAGAGAAATTTATGACGTCATAAATTGCCGCCATATTTGTACTGTGAGCACTGGAGATTTCGAGGTAAGGTGCTCGCAGTGCTTTTGATCACGTGATCAGTCGAAACAGAATCAGAAAATGATAAGTTTCTAAATAACCAAAAAAAAAATACTTACGTTTATTTATAAGATGGATTTAATTGATAAATAATTTTTTATACAATTTTCCAATTTTCTTTTGAAAAGAGGGAATCTTTATATTTATATTCACCTTGCATTAACAAATTTGAAAATGGCGCCAAAAAATAGGATTAACAGTATACTGGACTGCGTTCCGTTTTAAAGAGTCACCAGTATAACTAGCTATAAAGGAACGGGCTTCCAGTATACTAAATTGACGTCATACTGTTCAGTGGTCGCAGTGTATATCGGAACATGCCCTTTATGATTAAGTCGATTTACCGTAAGCCTTCTGTAACATTTTCAGTGACTCCGAACACGAATTCCATTGGCGATGTAAAATTTAAGACAAACTCTTTGTTCGATGTTTATATCAATACACACTAGATATGATATAACTAAAAACAGCACTGTATTTAATATAAATAACAGATGCAACTAAAACTCCGCGCTAAAATGGAAAACAGTTGTGCCAATCCAACAACAACAAAAAAAAACAAAAATTTGAATTTGGAACTAGACTCCATTCCTGATACTTTTTTGACTGAATGTGTTATTAGCCCGGGGACCGCGGTCCAACCGATGTGGGATGGGCGTTTTATTGCTAATGAAACTTATTGTGAGCGATGTAGGTTTCCTTTGTTCTAAATAACTTGTACAATCTACAGTGCTAACTCGTTGCCCTGTATACGTACAATATACGTGTCTATTCGAAATGACATAGGAATAGAATATCTGAGACACGTATAATCGATCAATTTTATTTTGTATTTTTATACAAAAAATGGAATCAATAGAATTTCTACACTAAATTACGTTAATTCGAACACGTAAATGAATTCGAATTCTGGTCTGGATCTTTACAGAATCACAAGGTTGGTCCTCGCAGCCCACGACCGATGCCTCAGTTTACACCATAGAGTAATATAGGTTGGGGTAGTTTACACACAACTCTCCGTCGTGGTAGCCTTGCACTGCAAGGCTTGCACACCCACTCCTCAACTTTAATGCGTATTATCTAAGCTACTTGTTTAAATTGAAACAAAAAAAAATACGTATCTAATATTTTTCTATTATCTGACTAACGGACTAAATAGAATTTCTTTTATTTTACCCAGTCGTCATCCCTATTTAGTTCATGTTAACTAATAATGGTTTCAATTTTAGTAACTACAGTTGACTCCTACTTACTATATTTTGATCTCCCTGAAAAATTTAGACTATACGCAATATAGATATAAGTGTAAAAAAATAATCGCATTTTGCGCTAAGTAAAATTGACATTTTTACCCAATACCAGCAAAAGGCGAGTTACAATGTTTTCTTTGCAGGTGTCGATAAGGAGTGTCATGACGTAACTCAATAATGATAGCATAGGTGAGCTGGTGATAGATTAACAACTTGAGACGATTGTTATGTTGATATTCATTCCTACATAAAGATGGGTAAGATAGGAAATTGACTAGATCTCTATGGTAGATGACGGATATAAGAATCGTATATATTTTATAACATAAAATTATATATTACCTCTATGTTTAAATAATCTAATTTGTAATAATAGGTAATAATGTAATAATAATTTGTAATATTGCAATTTAATTAACTGTGATTATATATATATAATTGATTATTATGAATTGTAAAAATAACCAACTTGACATTGTTAAAATACTTAATTTGACATTCTTATAATGATTTGACCTGCATGATTTAGACCTTTGTATTTAATTTGAAATGCTCATTGTAAAAGAGTTATATGGTCAATAAATGATTTGATTTGATATGTCGTTCGCTCGGTCGGGAGTAGGTACTCATGGAGTAGTACTTACTCATCCGGCAAACTCACGCGCACTACACCGAACGTGTGAAACAGATAACTTCATTCTTGTCATACAGTCGGCTAAGTGTGACGCGTGACGTGACGGTCTAAAATGGCTGAGATATACAAGAATAACTCGTCGGTAATAAACTTCGTTGAATATTTAAGAATTCCGAGTGTACAGCCGAACATAAATTACGGTAAGTGGCACGGATTCGTAATGATTGATATAATAATTATCGTCATAATAGTATATTATAAATAATTAGGAAGTATTTAAAAAAAACATTAGTTCCCGAAATCAAACTAGATGTCGTTGCGGTACTTTCTTGATATATCTCTCTCTCCATGACAACCCTTCCGGTTTTCCTTTATGTATAAACGAAAAATAATTTTCAAAACTCAATCATATTTGTTTTAATATTTAAGTTTTGAACTTTGCAAATTTCAGTTTTTTAATATGTTAGATAAAAGGTAAGGAAATGACTATCTTTGGTCCATTCATTTCCTGCAAAAAACAAATTTTGGTAGAGTCGCCCTCTAGTGAAGTGCTTTTTAGTGCTTTCTTTGTTTTCTTAAAATACTTCCTCATTATCATGAGAAGGAAAGCCTATAAGTACAACATAAAAGTTTTGACCGGTGCATGGACTAATATAATATCTAATATTTTCGTTATTAATTATGATAATAAAAAGGTATTTATCACACACTGGAATATAAACAGAAGTTTTAACCGGCAGCATGGACTATTAGTCCATGACCGGTATCGTTAGACATAAAATTAAACTGCATTATTCTTTCCAAAAGGTATTTGCATAAATAAATAAAAAACATAAAAAAACCGTAGGTATTTGAAAAAGTTAAAAATAATACTTTCTCATCTTATAAGCGGTTTAATTGTGCAAGAACTGCTATTGAAATCTGGCGGAGTTTTCTGTAGGTCAGTGTCTCCCATTCAAAAACTTTCGTCATGTTCCGCAAACTTGGATATCTTGAATAAGTCACTTTTTATGGATCTTTTGTCACTTTTTTAAAGTTTGAAGTCGGTTCTAATACATTTTTTTAAACTTAAAAAAGTTTTTATTTCATACCTTTTAGTGATATTAATATTTTTATGTAATAGGTTACACTAAAAATATTAAATGTCTATATTAATAAAAATATTTAACACAGTGAAAGTCTTAGAAAAGGAGATTTTGTTTATTTGGTCGACATATTTTTTTCTAATAATTCTATACTCATATTATAAAGAGTAAAGATTTGATTGCTTGTTTGTTTGCATTTTATCCTATTAATATTATAAAGGCGAAAGTTTGTAAGTATGGATGTATGGATGTTTGTTACTCTTTCACGAAAAAACTACTGGACGGATTTGGATAAAACTTTACAGCAATATAGGTTATACATCAGAATAACACATAGGGTACTTTTTACTGGGAAAACTTCTCACTCCCACGGGATACCGACTTCCACGCGGACGAAGTCGCGGGCGTCCACTAGTAAGCTACATAATACGCAGAGGACATAGGCTATAATCTACGCAAGCGAAATCGCGGGAAAACAGAAGAAATCGATGAACATACCTTCTTTCATAAAAAATATACATTCTCCTAGAGCATAAAAAATCCTCCTTTCGAATTTTGAATGAGTTCAAAATACGCAAACTTTTGATAAAAGGAAAACTACTGATTCGATTTCGATAAAATTTTAATGGAACTACCTCGGTCCATCAAGCTGTCGAATAACAATAAGAATTTTAATAATATCGGTGAACATACATAAAAAAGCGTATATCGCCGTCGAACATATAACCTCCTTCTTTTGGATTTTGACGTCGGTTAAAAATCAGCAGCAGCACAAGCAGCAGCTTCAAACTTCGCACTAAAAAGTGACATATGGAGTATCGCAGTTACTATCCCAGTCATATTTTAGCCAAACATTTTCGTTCAAAGCAATGAAAAATGTTTAAAAAATGATTTTTAAGCATTTCTTATTAAGAATATTTTCCAGTATGGCATTGTGATTGCAAAACTGATCAAATATAATAATTAAATGTAATTGTTTTTCTAAATCAATATAGGTAATTATTATTATAAAATTCTAGAAATGTGGTTCAACACTACATAATCAATTATTATCCTGACATATTTTGATATTGTTTGGCTTATGGGAAAAATGCCAAAAGTTATCGAGATGTGTTTAACTGCTGCTGCGTTAATTATGTCGTATATAAAAATATGAAATATACTATTAAAAGAGATAAATATCAATAAAAAAATATTTACGACATATTTATAAAAATAATAAGTTTAACAAATGAGGCAATGTCTCGTTTTTGAGACGTCATAAAGAATATTTATAATATTCGCTATCTGACAGTGTACCATATTGTATACATTCGAAAACAACGATTGACCTTTGTAACTTTGCTGTGCATTTAACAGCACCAATATAAGATGAAGATGTAGATAATATAAGATATAGATGAAGACATGGAAAGAGGAGAGGTGGCGGGTCAAAATTGTATTCAAACAGCCCAGACAGAAGCCCAAAATATTAAAAAGTGGAGAGTATTGAAGTTGGTTGAAAAAGGACTGTGATGACGATGGTGATGATGAGTACGTGTAAACTCAAAATAGTAATAAGTAGCAATCCTCTTAATAACGTAGATAACTAAATTTAAATCTGTCGCTCGTAGTCGTATGCCACAACAGTTTGTTTCGTTATTATTAATGGCATACGACTAAGCTGTCCTTTAGCCATCGTTATTATAATATAGATATCGCTAAAAATAAATTTGTAAATTTTTATAAAAAAAGTTGTTTGACTAAAAAAAATTTTGATTTTAAAGTCGAATAAAACACACCAAGTTTATACAGAACCTACTAGCTGGTTCTGTGGTTCTGTACTGAATCCTCTTGAATCACTCTGTATATTGATAAAAATTGCATTAAAATCCGTTGTGTAGTTCAAAAGGTCTCAGCGCACAGGCAGTGGGAATGGATTTTGTTTTATAATATGTATAGATATAGAAAATCCTAGATAAACAACTACATATTGACCAATCGGAATAATTCAAATATGACCGGCTAGGCAGGCTATCAGACCATCCACCAATAGCTATACGGCTGCACCTGACTCTCGTTGAGTGTAAGATGGACACTTAATGCATTTATTACCTCAGTGCTGTTATTATATTAGCTTGAATCTTGACTTGACACAGAAACAAGAACTATGTTACCATCCACGATGGCATATCGCGACAATAGCATAATTGACTCAAATCATACACAAATGGAGTGATTGGATCTATTTAGAGCGGCTCTAGTCATTGGATAATGATTCCGTTGCTCTATATGTCCCTTTCCTGTAATAGAGAAGGGTGCCCACAGGTATATCAACTACCTCTTGAAGAAAATATTTATTCTTTTCGCTATTTCGCCCATTCGCTAAAAATATAATTGGGTAGATTCTTTATCTGTTTACCAAAAATATATCACTGCGTTTATTCAAGACTCTTACCGATCACAAAAAAGGTTCAATATTAATTAATCACAGACAACTCGATAAGTTCTCGAATAAGTCCGTGTTATGAAGAAATGATGATTATCTGCTGACTTTTATAAGAAACTACTTAAAGATGCTTGATTGAACATTCACAAAAACATCAAAACTCTAATGAACTTAGTTAAAGCGGGAGAAGGGAATTGGTGTACATTCAAATCACAAATAATTTTTATTCAATTTTTCTAATAAATGTAATAAGTTTTATTTATTCTACATTCAAGAGCTCGTGTAAATTTGTAAGTTGGATTCTATACTGTTGTTATTACAATTTCGGTAGATGAAAGGCTCGGACTACAAGTAAAAAGCTTCATGTGCTCGCAACTTTAGCTACAATTCATACTAAGCTCATTAATCAACTTGTGGCGCCATTCAATTAACAAGCTGACTTTATATCATACGAGTGATTGAAAGTCAGTCAGCTGAACGCAACATTCTACGAAAGGGCTGAACAAAAGTCAATTAACTGTCAGCTCACCATCATCATCGTCATCATTATCAGCCTTTTTACGTCCCCACTGCAGGGGCTCAGACCTTCCTTATGGATGGTTAAGGAGGATGGGCCATGACCCTCCACGCTGGCCCAATGCGGATTGGAGGGTATTAATGACTACAAATGCAGCCAGGACCAACGGTTTCACGTACCTTCCGAAGCACGGAGTAGCTTGAGATAATAATTTTTTGGTCACCCATCCCGTGACTAACCCTTGCGAAAGTTGCTTAACGAAAACGGTCGCGGGCCATCGACATTTATCAGTACGATTGGATGTAAAACAAAATATATATTGTAGTGGGCGATTTTATTTTAAACTCAAAAACTCCTTGTAACCATCTGTAATTGATACAGATAAAAGACTGCAATATCAAAAATATAATAATAAACTGCTCATTAGCGACTGGATGTTAATGTTCCGTGTATGATCCAGTAGAGTAAGCTAACGTACACACCCATAACGTAAGTGGGTTAAGCTAAACTTTCATAATAAGTTCTTAATACTAATTCAATCATACAATGACAAGATATACTTCGATTCAGACGGCCACAGTGCCATCTATCGAAAGCAAAAATTAAATAATTAAAAGACTGAGATTGTTTTAGTATGTTTAAAACGATTTCGAAGTTTCGTGTCACAATAGTTAATAACTATAAAATAATAAACAACATTTTTTTAACAGATGACAAAACTAGAAGAACGTTTTGGCGGCTTTTAAAAACAGTAAATTTTTTGAACGATCCAAAGTCATAACGAACTAGAAAAAATTAATGGCTAGCCGCCCAATTGAACGTTTGTTTTAACTAGTTGGCTACTACATAGACATAGTTACATTTTAATGCGCTATTGAAACTTAGGGTTCGGCGGAGCTTTCTTAGAGAAACTCTACCATAGTGGAACCATAAAGGTTTTTTATTACAAAATTAGCTGATCCGTTTGAGAGATAGTATTAAGATTATACATCATAGCCGTACATCCTTTGCGCCTAACCTATGCGCGGTCTTAAAACCCGTACCGGCACACTTCAGCAGTCTAACTATACCTATAACGTTTTTTTACCACCTGGAGGTCCGAGCTTTGCTAGGATATCGATCTAGCTTATTAAAATCAGATCGATTCATCGCTCCCTAAACCTCCTGCATACTAAATTTCATGAAAATCGTTGAAGCCTTTTCTAAGACATAGATTTAAAGGTATATATATAGATTTAAGGATAGATAGATTGTTGTTATATTTGTATATAATTATGTTACGATAATTCCATGATGATACGTCCAATATTAGTTAGGTACACAACAATTTGAAGGGGGTATCGCAAAGTGAAAGTGTTATAAACAAAATAGTTTTGTTTCAGATGATTGTGTCGCATTTCTCAAAAAGCAAGCTAACGAACTCGATTTGGCCTTAAAGATTTTTGAACCGGTAGAGAAAAAGCCAATCGTAGTGTTGTCGTGGTTGGGACAAGATCCATCACTGCCGTCTATTTTGCTGAATTCTCACATGGATGTTGTCCCGGTTTTTGAAGTAAGTCGTATAATAATATATCATATAATCAAAGCACGTTAGGTTAGGTTTCAGATTTGTCAAAATTGTTCACTTGATTTCATACCTTAATATTTAGAGGTTTCAGTTTATAATCAATTGCGGATATTTAACGTACTATGGTAACTCCGCTTGAATTGAGACCTTAAGCATTGAAAGTTAAGAGTTCTGACATATTGAGATAACCATGATGCACTGCTGTATGTACACATTAAAATTACTTAGCGTATATTACTAGCTTTACTAGTACTTGCTTTCCTCCAGCGGCATCGCCCGCGTGGTTCCTAGGGAACAGTTTATTTATATTTCGATTCATATCATGACACGGATGTAATAAGAATGAAAAATTGGTTAGTAAACAATGGTTACTATAGTAATGTTTTAATTCTCTATACAAATTTCCACTCCCATTTTCATCCCTTTATTTGCAGATTTTCGGAATAAAATATAGCCTATGTTCACCGCGTATGATGTAGCTTCCCGTACGTGAAAGAATTTTTAAAATCGGTCCTGTAGTTTCGGAGCCTATTTGATGCAAACAAACAAACATACAAATGAACAAACATTCAAATCTTTCCTCTTTATAATATTAGTATAGATAGGCTTTAAATGCTTCTCGTTATATTATATTAGGTAAAAACCTAATATTAGGTCCTTACATATGAAATTGGCGTTTTGTCGTACTGGCCACTTTAATTACAAATTTTTCCTTGGTTGGAAATTCAAATTTATACAGTCATTTACACATGTATTTGTGTTTCGTTAGGCGGCATAGTCTTAGTATAAATTAACAGAGTAAGTAAACAATTCTTCCGACGTTAATATACAAATGCGATAATGGCGTGACATATTTTTTTAGAATAGTTGGACATACCCACCGTTTAGTGGCCATATAGATCAAGATGGTAAGATATATGGACGAGGTTCTCAAGACATGAAGTGTGTGGGGATCCAATACCTTGAAGCTATAAGAAAATTAAAAGAATCTGGAATACACTTGAAGAGGACATTGCATGTATCATTTGTACCTGGTATATTAATTTTTTAATCATTCTTTTTCACACAAATTTTCTATTATAAGTAATAAATTACGCAACAATTTTTTTATTTTTTTTCTAGATGAAGAGATTGGTGGGCATGATGGAATGGAAAAATTTGTCTTGACCGATGATTTCAAGCAGTTAAACATTGGGTTCGCTCTAGATGAAGGAATGGCCAACCCAACCGAAGAATTTATAGTATTTAATGGAGAACGAAGTATATGGCGTACGTACTTTTATTATTACTTTATTAAAATTAACAGCCAAATAAAAGGAGTTATCTACCACTCTTAAACTGCAGAAATTAATGTTACCGTGGCGATTGTGTTTTGCGAGTAATTATTTATATCTTGTTTTATTTTAGAAATCCACGTTCATTGTTCAGGACAACCAGGGCATGGTTCTTTACTAATTTCTGATACGGCGGGCGAAAAGGTAATTCGCTAAATATAATATATTAATTTGCCGTATTTATGAGTAACGTGAGTAGAATCAAAGAGTTAAAATATCGCAATGCCTATAATACTCGTAACTATAAATATTGTACATTCATCACCAAATTACTTTTTTGTTTGTCATAATTTATTCAATTTAATTTTACAGCTGCGATACGTCATCGATAAATTTATGGATCTTCGCGAAGAACAAAAAAAAATATTAGAAAGTGATCCTAACTTAACTATTGGCGATGTTACTACAATTAATTTAACTCAAATATATGTAAGTAAAATAGATGTATTTTTTATGGACAAATAATAGATATTATGTGTTATATATAATGATAACGAGATAAGATTGTTGACGGGGAACACGATTTTCGCTAAATATAGCAAATTTTGTTACATATCTCGCGTTTACTTTACATATTGTTTAAGTAAGTATAAACAAGTGCTTAATTTTCCAAAATGACAACCACTGTGACCTTAAATAGGTACGAATCGTCTTAAAAATCTTTCAAAAGGTCGCTTTTTTCTTTTTCAAAAGGTAGCAAAGGTTTTATTTCATTATACCTCTTTGACGTGACCTCGCTGCGTTCGACGACGAGTTCGAAACTTTTTATAACAGAATGGCACAGGGTCTTAAATAGATTGTCATAACACATTAATTATCAGTTCATTTAACATTGATGAAAATTGAATATGTTAATTTAATTATAACCTTCATCCACCATTACAAAGATATGCAGACTCTAAATACCTACCTACTGTTCTTTAAATATTACAGGGAGGTGTGCAATCCAACGTGGTGCCAGAAAAGTTGACTGCCGTTTTCGATATACGATTAGCAGTGACAGTAGATCATACTCAATTTGAAAATATGGTAAGTGGATTACCTTAGTAAGAGCCTTTGATTTTTACTTTTATTTATAGATACTTTTATTAACAGTTATAAAGATATAAATTATCATATAAAAATGTTCAAATCCCCATTTTCCAGAATACGGACCCTGCAAAAGATTGAAGCGTCCTGTAAAATGTTTAAAACATTACACGCGTTTTACCACGATTAGAATATGTAGACTACTAAATTAATTTGTCAAGCCGGAATAAATTTATTGATATGGTTTTTACAGGTGAAACAATGGTTTGCTGAAGCTGGGCCCAATGTTACTTATGAATTTGAACAGAGAAACCCTTTTGTAGAATGTACTAAACTCGATGCCACAAATCCTTACTGGGTTGCGTTCAAAGGCGCTGCTGATGCAATGTGAGTATAATCTCGCCTACTTAGTGTTAAATAACGTAAGATATCAAATACATTATATTTTCTATTTCCAGGGGATTAAAATTAGATTGCAGAATTTTCCCTGGAGGCACTGACAGCCGCTACATAAGACGCGTAGGGTTACCCGCACTTGGATTTTCACCTATGAACAAAACTCCGGTGCTGCTTCACGATCACGACGAATTTCTAGACGCTTCTATATTTTTAAAGGGTATTGATATATACGTCAAACTTTTAAGTGCCATAGCCAATATTTAAACACACTTTTATAAGGATGCAATATAAAATACCATCAGAGTAAAACCAATATTTACTTCACCTACAAAATTATAAATGTTCTTTGTTACATAAGTACTAATTACTCAGGCAATAAAACAGACGAGACACCGCATGTTATCTTGTTGTCGGAGATTAAAATTATTTCTGTTATTTGTTATCATATCATATTTATTTGCTACGTCGGCGGGCCCCGCAGGTCTCACGCGCAAGTGCTCGACATGTTTAGTGCATTTTGATTTAATCCAATGCCAACTAAATCGAAGGCAATTTAGTTACGTTATAGTTTGTGCAGTGTTATTAAAAAATAGCCTCGAACTCAACGCCTAGCATAGCGCTGTCATGACATAGAAGTTCGCTCAAACTACATAGCTCTATGTTGTCACATCGTTGCTCTGAAAGTCGAGTTCGTGTTGTGTTTTTTCAGAATAGCATAGCTTAGCTGTTATCTATACTAATATTACGAAGAGTAAAGATTTGATTGTTTTTTTTGTAAGGAATAGGCTTCGAAACTACTGGACCAATTTTGAAAATTCTTTCACCTACTGGAGCTTCCCGTTAAATACGGTTCCGGTTAAACATTAAATGCGGTGAACATAGAGATGAAAAAGGGAGTGGGAGTTTGTATAGGTAGGGAATTAAAACGTTGCCATATTAACCATTGTTTACTATTCAATTTGTCATTGTATTTTATTTTATTTTATTAGGAAAACAAACAGTGATATTAAATCTAATACACATTACCGTAATGATAACTGTTCATCAATTACATTCTTTCACTTATAAAATTATTATTTTAGTAATGTGAAGAAATTTATACATAAAGAAAAAAACATATAATACAATTATTTACTTCGTAAATAACAAAATTTTTCTTTTTATTGTGAGGGAACCGACTCTAGCCAAAAGTCTAATATGGCCTTTTTGAAAGCAGCTGAATTTGAACAGAAAATATCCACATCCGAAAAACAGTCAGCCGACCATGAGACTATGAGTTTTGTTTATAATTTGTACCACTGCGTGCAATGGTAAACGTTGATTGAAGTCTTGTTGACCTATGGGGACTCGTAATTGACAAATTTCTTCACTTTATTTTAAGCCTTAACACATGGACAGTAGAGTTCAAAATCAACTGTGCAAATTTCACATATAGCGGTAAAAATGTGTGTGTATATGGTATTACTAAACTAATTTATATCAATGTATAATAAACGTATTGTGCAAAGAAAGATAAATGTAGATTTTTATTATTATATGATATGTGTAATATTCTATTAATAAAGCTATTTTTATTGTTGTGAATTGATTGTTTATTGACAATTTGCTTTTAGAATTCTATGTCCCCCCATAAAGAAAATACCGTAAACAAATCCATATAATCAGCCCTTTAATTTTGGTGTGCGGAATCGATTACCATTAATCGATTTTCAAATAATCAGTTCCTATCGATTATGATTTCATAATCGTCGATTAACCATCGATTATTTCTTAAAACGTTAGCAATAGGAATAGTTTAAATCGTTAGTATAATACCTACTTACTTTACTTCGATGGCTCAGCAACCTATAGCGGATCGCGAGTGTGAATATTATTAGTAGATATTCTATTACTTATTGTGGCAGCCCCGGAATACTCCCACGAACAAATAGGTTACTACTCTTTGGTCGGGGAACTCCTGATGAATGAATGAACGGATTACAGTCCGTACAGTTTTATTTTAACAAATACAAAATAACCGTTTCTTCCTAAATGCACATGTAAGTATACACGGTACATACCTATACCAAAATATTTTTTATTTTTTTTCATTTTTTGTCTGTCTTATTGTTCCGGCTAAACTCTGATACTGTTAGACAAATTTTGACGGGACTTTCACTGGTAGATAGCTTATGTAATAAATAAGGAATTACTAAGGCCACTTTCCACGCGGACGAAATCGCGGGTACAGCCAGTTTAATTCTATTAATTTTGCATACACAATGCTGGTATAGTAATCATTGTCTTAAAATTGATTTTTAACTATTTTTCATTAACTGGGATGGCTTTAAAATACGGTGGAATTAATCTGAAATCATTAATAAACTTCTGGGGTAAAAGTTTATCTTACGTCCATAATTAAACTAGATGAGAACGAGGAAGTAACATTAGATCCATAAGGGGTAGCTCAAGATAATTGGGAATTCCACAGGAAATAGCCTCTTTCGCGCAAGAATCTGCAGTCTCGTTACAAATGATCCCACTATGTCCAGGTATCCAGGAAATAACCAACCGAATACCCTTATTTTTACATCTTAAAAAGATTCTCTAATTCTTAGTATGGTTGGTTAACATGAGTTTGATCTAAATGAATTGGCAATAAGAGCCTGAAGACATCTATGTGAATCAGATAATATTAATATTTTATCTAGATTATGAGATTCCGCATACAAAACAAAATGTCACTTATTGTATAAAAAAAAGCATAGACAAACTATGAAGCCTAATGGGCAACGCCAGTAATGAGGAAGTACTTAAAAAACAAAGCACAAAAAAGTTGACGTTTACAGGAAACGAACGGACCAACGATAGTCATTTCCGTTCCTTTTAACTAACATAGTAAAAAACTGAAATTTTGTAAAGTTCGAAACTTAGATATCAATACAAATAGGAAAAAGTACAAATAGAATATAAGTTGTTTATTGAGTTTTGAAAATTAATTTACATTTATACATGAAAGAAAACCAGAAGAGTTGTCATGGAGCAATCAATAACGTACCGTAGCGACATCTAGTTTGATATCGGGAACTATTTTTTTGAATTAAATACTTCCTCATTAAAAATCATTTTATTCTATAAAATCTAGACCCGAATTAAAATTCACTCATGTGTCCGAATTCACGTCATTTAGTGTAAAAATTCTATTGATTTCATTTTTTATATAAAAATACAAAACAAAATTGATTGAATATACGTGTATCAGATATTCTAGGTATTCTAGTCTATGTCATTTCAAAACTCATTTCACTTATGCCACGAAACGTTATTACCAATGAGGAAGTATTTAAAAAATAAAAATTAGTTCTTGAAATCATACTAGATGTCACTCGCGAGTTTTGGATTTTGTTTATGATATTCATTCAAATTTTATTTCTGACGTGATAAATGTAAATTGAGTATTTTCGATAAATAAATATGACATCGTTTTGTGTTTCTTATAATGTCTCACTTTCAAACTAATTTTAATTTATTTTAATTGTAAGTTTAAGTTGTTTATTATGTTACGTGTAAAGGAACGATGTTTGGTTGATACGTCAACATTAGTGATGAGCCAACTTATTGGTTGCTCGTAACTTTGGTCGAATTCAGGTTTGGAATGGAGAACAAAAATGATGGTGAAGCGTCATTATGCATCCACAAAACGAATGATATTAATATAAATATCAAAATCAATTCAATCTAGACTGTTACATAGTACTTGTGAAAGTCGAAAACTTTACCAATGGTTCGCAAAACTAAGGCGGGAGATCTCTTACTGACAAGAAACGGCAAGAAACTCAGCAAGGGCTGCTTTTTTAATTTCAACTAAACAACTCAACTATACTATATTTGAGGGATCGTAACCACCTAACGCACACGATACCACCGCAGAGATTTTAAGGGACCAAAACAACTCTAGGTACTTAGTAAATAATATATTTCAATAAAACGGATTTCTAGAGTAGGTTGTGTAGGAATTCAAATTATTATTAACAATATTATTGTAAGAACCAAAAAGAACAAACCCGCCGTACGAATTAACTTAACACATGGCTCGACGTCCGCCGTCGACATGCAAGATCAGTAGCAATATAATAACTGTACGTGTCTTTGACATTTGAAATTTAAAGTTACAACCTTGCTGTTCGTTTAGAGCAGACGTTTCTTGTTAATTGCTGAATGTTTATTATATTATGATTTAATTATGAATATAAATAAATATTTAACAACATCACATACATTGCTCAGATTCCAAGATGAGTAGCTAAAGCCCCCGTATTATGGAGTATCTGAGACAACGAAGGTACCACAACACCCAGACCCGAGTCAATATAGAAATGTTCATTTTCTACATTGACCCGACCGGGAATCGAACCCGGGACCTCAGAGATGGCGACACCTTGAAACCGGCGTGCGAACCACTCGGCTACGGAGGTTGTCAAAAAGATTTAATAACTGATAATAGTTTTATAAAGTCTTAATTTCGAAAGCACAAGTTATTTGCACGTTACACTTTGCACAAACGTCATTTTAGCCAGCAGTTATGTTATTTTGTACGAATATATAGTATATTTGATACATATCGGGTAAGTTTATAGATAATAAACGGATTTTTCTTAAAAATTATTGTTTTTATGACTTTTGTTGCTGATTAATAAACCCTATTCATTCATTCACCATACATAATATAAAAAAAATATTGAGAATTGATGTAGTTTTGTTGTTGTAAGTTCAACAAACAACTAATAGCAATAAAACTAACTTACCTAGTTGTTATTTTTTCAGAACTTTTGTTAAATATTAAAATGAAAATTCCTAGACCTACTATGACATAAGTACCTATTTTATTTATAAAACGTAATATTATTGTATACCGTAGTTAGATGCAACTTTTAATTATATCACAGCATTCAATTGATTTCCATAAATTTAAAAAGCCTCTGTGCTCACTTCACTTATGTTAGTTTCCATTTTCCTCTATACAAATAAAAAATAAATTTATTCAAAGATTACTTTGTATTAATCGAGTTGCGATTGCATAACTCGAACTAGTTAAATTTCAACTCGATATTAATCCAAGTTATCAGATCCATAACAACACTAACAAATCTATTCTCTTTGGTTTAACGTCATGAATTGACGTTTAGATCCAACAATTTGTGCTGCCATCTAGTAACATAATTTTTTGTAGTTTCTTTATTTTTTTTAAATACTTCCTCATTCAAGATTGAGCGGATTTCGCTTTTTGAAGTGTATTCGGACACCGGAGTTTACAGAATCCCAGGGCAGTAGTATTGTGCAGTTTGCGAACGAACTGGGGCTCTATTTTTGAATCATTCGTCTCGCGTCGAGCGCTCGTTTTCTACTGATTTTCGTTCGACTTAACAAATTCGCCATTTCTAAATCGCTCGACTGCAACGAGTGGTATGAACCACTCGTCGCTTAGCGAACGTTGTATGCGAGTGATAGAAGAAAACGAGCGCTCGACGCGAGACGAATGATTCAAAAATAGAGCCCCTGGTTCGAAGAAACAGCTCCCACAGACGAACTACGTGAATTAGATCCCACATTTTCCCTTCTGTAGCTTGTGACAGTTTTGACACCTAAATTTTAACTCTGGCAGATTACGGTGACGATAAGAAAAAAGTGGCAGAATTTGGGGGAATTTAAAAATTTCGTCATTTTTTTTTAAATACATTTGTATTTTTATATATTTCTATTTAAAATAGGTTGTGTCTCTTTTAAACCAACCCAATAAATGGTAAAAAAATGCTCTTAAAACCAATAAACAATGAAATGAAAAGCACGAGTATGAAGCAAATGTTAATACATAAATTCATTAATTGTATTAATAAGGTAATATCTTCGAATACTTAGTATTTTATTTGTTCGTGTACAGTTCGACACAAAAGAAAAGAAAATGAAATAATGAGAAACTAAAATTATTTTTGCTAGCAACACAGACCCCAGACAACACCAAAATACAACGGCGTCACTGTAAAAATGACGTTCAAATTCAAATGGATTTCCTTGAAAATTGTTGCACTATAAACGAAGAGGGGGCCCTCATTTATTTTCTACTCTTTTTTGTCGCACTGTTCATATTCTAAGGCGACAGGCGACATGGAAAGAAATTAGAGCTTTTATTCATATAAATTAGATTTTATTTGTTTCAATTCAATACAAAAGATTCACAGAAATCTGTTTACTATAACCAGGTTCTGACGAATTAAACTCCACCAATAACAATATAAATGTAACGTTTTGAATTTGACAAGAATTAAATATGTATTTAATGTAAGTAAAAGGCTGCATTTTTGTGGTTTGATTTAAGCAGTTTTATATGAATATAAATATTTACTTGTACAATACATATATGTATATATTTATGTAAATCAACATAATATTTGAGTTACGCCATAACTACAACAAAAAATATAAAGAAGAATATTAACACTCCAAATATCTTGAACATGAGAGCTCTGTTGCCAGTAACACTCTGAAAGTATTTCATTATTTCTCTATGGCCGGCTTCAACGTTCATCTCTGCCTCTTGAATATTAGCATCAATTCTACCGATAGCCTCATCCTGCTCCTTTACCATGTGTGCTAGCTGTTGAAATATGCCACCTAGCTCAACAATAGTGCTTTCAATATTATGCATAGTTTCAGCTCTTTGTTGCACATATGATTCTGTGTCATCTCTAAAGGCTAACTGTTGTGTTTGAAGACCAGAATCAACGTCGCCAAAATCAATACTAATTTCATTTTGTTGTAATAAAGAAGGAACCTCTGGTACTGTTGGAGCTACTCTTGAAAATTGTTCTCTTCGGTTATTTTGATGTTTCAAATTCTCTGATCTCACTTCTAGTACCTGTGAAAATAAATGATAATAATAATAATCATTTATTCTCTCAACACAAAATTATGTACATACATGTGTGTCTTAAGGTTCTTAAAAACATTTTGTATCTTAATTTTGTGAGAGACTGGAGCCCGAAATTGGTTTCAGTAGAAACCTGTGTGTCAGGTCACCAGGATCTCCCCACAGATAAAATATAACATAAATGAAGAACCAAAACGAAAGAGAATGCAGTTAAAATGTCGCCATTTTATGAGGAGATATCTATATTTGAGTCTATACATATGTGTGTGTGTGTGTGTGTGTGTGTGTGTGTGTGTGTGTGTGTGTGTGTGTGTGTGTGTGTGTGTGTGTGTGTGTGTGTGTGTGTGTGTGTGTGTGTGTGTGTGTGTGTGTGTGTGTGTGTGTGTGTGCGCGTGCGCGTGCGCGTGTGCGTGTGCGTGTGCGTGTGTGTGTCTGTGAGTTAACACTGTGGAGACTGAATTTATTACTTGTGTATATAAAATTATTTGAGATGGTAAGTTGTGACCTTTTATTGTTTACTTTTTTTTTTTCCAACCAAACATTTACTTAAGTGGGATAAGAAGGTTTTCAGTAGCTTGATAGTCAAGGGTTTTTAGGTATTTAGTCACAGTTGATTTGCAAGCGTATTTCGGAAGGTGGTAAATATTGAGGATTTTATTTAGTTTGTTATATAAATATGAGCCAAGAAAGCAGAAATAATGATGCGAGGCCGCAGTTTTTAATGATTTGCTGGGGCATACGTTGCTCTTTCTCCGTTTATTTCTGAGCAACATGGGATCATAGTGTAATTGTGAATGTTTCTTTTTTATTATAGATAGTATAAATATTTGCCTGACTGTCAATACATCCCATTCCCTAAAAAGATCCACTGTGGGATAACGAAAAGGTAGAGATGCGGCCACTTTTAGTACAGCACGTTGTGCCCTCTCCACCTCGAGTATGTGAGTTTTTGAAACACCACCCCATGCCGATATGCAATACTCCAGCAAAGATTGGCAAAGTGAAAAATACACCATTTTAATTATGTGCCGGTCGGCAACATGTTTAAGTGCCTTAAAAATGTAAATTAATTTACGTATTCTGGTTACAAGAGATTCAATATGGAATTTGAAAGACAGTAGCTGATCTATTATTACACCGAGGTACTTTATGTTATCTGTTCTTTGTAGGACAGGACAGCAACATTGTGGTGGATTATTACTACATTTATAGATGTGTGCATATATATGTTGTGTCAATGGAGGAAGTTGATTGGATTTTAATGAAAACGCAATATATTTAGTTTTTTAAAATATTTAAGGATAGCAGATTCTGTTTCAGCCAATCATCCACTCTGTTGAAACCTCTCTGGGCAGTGTTAAAAGTCTCTTTCCACGAGTCACCACTGAAGAATAACGCAGTGTCGTCGGCAAACGTGAATATTCTACCCCCACAAAGTTGTAACTGGCATAAGTCATTAATATAAACCAAAAATAACGTTGGGCCAATTATACTGCCCTGGGGGATGCCAAATATGACGTCAGCTTCGTCACTAATCCAGTGCTCTATTTTTACTCTTTGGGTCCTATTGGTTAGATAATCACATAGAAGTTTTAATGGAAGGCCTCTAACTCCAATCCTCTCCAACTTCATCAGGAGGCGAGGGATCGAAACCGTGTCATAATTCTGTATTTGCTATAAATAGAGTAGATTGCAATGAAGTGGATGATTGTCTTCAATAAAGTACTTAGTAGACCTATTTACCCATATTATATCACTAGCATGTATGTGTCAGTTCAACTAAATTTCAAACCATTTTAAATAATAATAATTAATTACGATATTAAACATATATAAATTAATTACATTTTTGAAATATTTTGTCATTTGTCAAATTGTACATTAATTAAACTCTGCATCAACTACAGCTATGCTGTTCCTTGTGATTTAAAAAATCTTTCACTGTATAGAAGTTATGGTTCAACAGCCACTGACCTTACAATAATTTAAATTGCTTAATAGGGTGGTCTATAAATTGTAATGGTATTTTATTGTAGATATTTTGACACATAGCAGTACAATTCTTTAAGAATTGTTTAGTTTTTGGGTCAATTTCCAATTCCAGTCTATGGGGATGGCGCATGGACCTTTCGGATATATCGCACACCTTTGTAAACTTTTGAATATTCTGATGAAAAAATACTGCCACCTCAAAAATGTAAAGACTTGGCAAAGTTAAAATGTACAGAGATTTGAAATAGGGTTTACATGATATGTCTGGTGCTATGTTAAAACGTTCATTAAATATAGAAGCTATAGCTATGAGGTCAGTAATTTCATTGTCATTATTTATAATTTTAGTAATGTAACTTCTATTGTATGTCCCATTAGTTTCCTTTTAAATAATAGTCCATGTTGTCCTGCATTTATTTTTACTATAAGCTATATTACCTTTGGTAAGCATTTCTTTTTGAAAAATTAATACAATTCTTAAATAATTTAACATATTTAATATATTTTAATCAATCATTTTCGGTTCTACTCAAATAGTATTTAAACCGAAGTTTTCTTTTTATGATACTGCTTTTTTAAGCCTTTCGGTATCCATTGAGATTTATTTAACATGATGCTTTTAACCTTAACTAGTGGAAAACAAAGATTGTATAGAAGAAGAAAAATTTCATAGAATTCGGCAAAAGCAATATTTAATTCCTTATGTCCATACATTTGAAAAAGAAATTGTTTTGAGATTAGTTTTAAATTTATTAATATTTTCATCTGACTAGTTTCTTCTATAATTTAAATAGTGGTTGGAATTTCTTTCTTATGTTCTACATTACATTTCAGTATTTGAGCAATGTCATGATCAGATAACCACAGGAACAGCACAGACCCTGTTGCATCTACTATATTGCTAATTATTTGGTCAATACAGTTATTACCTCTAGTGGGTTGGTTTATGTGCAGAATTAAATTATATTTTTTCAATATGTCTTTTAATTGCATTGTATTTTTATGTTATCAAGTGTGTTCATGTTTAGATCACCGGCTATTATAATTTTTTTTATATATATAAGTTTGTGAGATTCTAAACAATAATTTATCAATTTTAGAAAAAACAAATTAATATTTCTCTGTATTATGGATGGAATTTTGTAAATACATATAATTATATTGTTTGTAACTAGATTAACTACACAACACTCAAAGTGATAAGGTACAAAGAGGTCATCAAAACAACACAATTTTCTACAATCAAGCCGCTGTCTTATTAACCAGTTCCGCCTCTCTTAGACGGTCTTAATTAGTAGGTACCAAATTGCAAACATTGATGTGCTGTATTTATCATAAAAACAGCATATTGGGATTCGTTTGAGGTTTGATATTGGAAAGAGTTACTTCTATTACTTCCTTTTTTGACAGTAAACTATGTATGTTTTGGTGGAAGATAGTAAAACAGGATTTTTTTGTTACAAAAAATGGTTGGCTACTGGATTGCGTAATACTTTTATTGTCACATCGAAACTGTTGAACTTTTTCCCAAAATAAAAGTGTATTGTGCCTTTTTTCAGAAGTAAGCAGTTTTAATATTATTTTGATTGATTGAAAAATTTAATAAATAAATCATATATCATAATTGATGCTTAATTAATTTATAAGATTAATGTCTTTATTACAAAATTAATAGGATAATATACTAAAATGAAACCTAAAATAAATTCTTTATGTCAAAATTCTTTATGTGAAAATTAATTGAAATCCAACCACTTGAAAAACAACACAGTTTTTTAAAATAACAGTTTGTGTGATAAAATTAGGGAAATATCATAATTATTTTAATTAAAACATACCTGTTTAAATTGGTTACTCATGGATGCAAGTCGGGATTGTAAAGCAACAACAACACTGGAGGAATGACTATGCATACTGCGCCTACCTCTTGGCATTTCTCCTAATCTAGCTATCTGTTGATTCAAGGAACTCAAATCTCCTTTTATAATATATGTCAACTCTTGAATTTCTGTAGGGCGATCATCAAATAAAGACTTTTTTTTAGCCACTGAAAAAATAATTAATATCAATCCAATACTATGAAATAAAGTGACAAAGGAGTAACTCATGAATGTATAATGTAAAGGAAAACCTTATAAATTATTCTCAATGAAAACTGCTTTAAAAATCCACTTTGCTCCTGGTACTCTGAGATGGGACACGAACCCATGACCTTCTATCACTTGTTACTTTAAGCTATTACAAAATGTATTTTGCATCAATACTCAGGGAATCCCCCCAAATTTATTTTTAAGCATTTATCATTAAAAATAGTTTTCAGTATAGGATTGTGAATGCAATATTAATCAAATATAATAACATTACAAATTAACTTACATAAAGCCAATTTCTCCAACTTAGCATAGGTACTTGTTATATTTTTGCTGATAACTTTAGCCATACTCATGAATTGAGAGTATGTTTCGAGAACAGCTGCTTTTTTTTCATCTCTAATGACAGGTCGAGCTAGCGTTCTGCCTTGTAAACTACGAACTGTTGCAATAAATTCATTTGTACGATCTCTCGCTGCCATCACTGTTTCAAAGACAAAATCTTCAAGGAAATCGAATTTGTAATCTTCCTCTGGTTGACTTTCTTGTAAACGAGTGTTCACTTGAAAATATCCTGAAGTCGGGATTGGTTTTGTTGATTGATTATGAGGAAAACCTTTCTTGTCTAATTTATCATACGTGTCCTCGGAATTCTCCAGCAAGTGTCGCTCACTAATACCAATGTTTCGGCGACGAGGTAGCATTGCACTGCATGCTAGCTGATATTTAAAAAAAAAATAAGCAATAAAGATATTAAAATAAAGTTAGATAAATAGCACACAATCTCAAATCGAAAACTTGCTTAAAAATAAAAAACGAAAGGTGATACCGTATTGACAGATGTCAGTAGTAATAGGGATTAGGGATGCCCGATCTTTTGTTTAAAGTCATTCTTTTGGATCATATATATATAATGAGGATGTATTTAAAAAAATTGGTCCCGAAATCAAACTAGATGGACTTTCTTGATTTCTCCATAACAACCCTTCCGGTTTTCTTTCATCTATGAAAGTAAATTAATTTTCAAAACTCAACAAACAACTCATGTGTTACTTGTAATTTTTCTTATTTGTATTGATATCCAAGTTTCGAACTTTGCAAATATCAGTTTTTTAATATGTAAGTTAAAATGAAATGAAATGAAAATATCTTTATTCAAGTAGGCTATTACAAGCACTTTTGAATCGTCCAAAAAACTTTTTTCCCCTACCACTTGTTCAGGACGTCTTTTAGCTGACAAGAAGAACAAGCGAAAGAAACTTATCAGCTTTTTATCATAAGTAATGACATTTACATAAATCATGTCATTACCAAAATAATATGTATTATCAATTTATCACAATGAGGAAGTATTTAAAAAATAAAAATTAGTTCTTGAAATCATACTAGATGTCACTCGCGATTTTTGGATTTTGTTTATGATATTCATTCAAATTTTATTTCTGACGTAATAAATGTAAATTGAGTATTTTTGATTAATAAATATGACATCGTTTTGTGTTTCTTATAATATCTCACTTTCAAACTAATTTGAATTTATTTTAATTGTAAGTTTAAGTTGTTTATTATGTTACGTGTAAAGGAACGATGTTTGGTTGATACGTCAACATTAGTGATGAGCCAACTTATTGGTTGCTCGTAACTTTCGTTGAATTCAGGTTTGGAATGGAGAACAAAAATGATGATGAAGATGAAGTGTCATTATGCATCCACAAAACGAATGATATTTACATAAATATCAAAATCAATTCAGTCTAGGCTGTTACATAGTACTTGTAAAAGTCGAAAACTTTACCAATGGTTCGCAAAACTAAGGCGAGAGATCTCGTACTGACAAAAAACGGCAAGAAACTCAGCAAGGGCTGCTTTTTTTATTTCAACTAAACAACTCAACTTACTATATTTGAGGGAACGCAACCACCAACGCACACGATACCACCGCAGAGATTTTAAGAGACCATAACTACTCTAGGTACTTAGTAAATAATATATTTCAATAAAACGGATTTCTAGAGTAGGTTGTGTAGGAAGTCAAACTATTATTAACAATATTGTTGTAAGAACCAAAAAGCACAAACCCACCGTACGAATTAACTTAACACATAGCTCGACGTCCGCCGTCGACATGAAAGATCAGTAGCAATAGTATAATAACTTTGTGATTTGAAATTTAAAGTTATAACCTTGCTGTTCGTTTAGAGCAGACTTTTCTTGTCTATTGCTGAATGTTTATTAAGATGATTTAATTATGAATATAAGATTTAATAACTGATAATAGTTTTATAATGTCCTAATTTCGAAAGCACAAGTTATTTGCACGTTACACTTTGCACAAACGTCATTTTAGCCAGCAGTTATGTTATTTTGTACGAATGCATAGTATATTTGATACATATCGGGTAAGTTTATAGATAATAAACGAATTTTTTTATAATAATTATCGTTTTTATGACTTTTGTTTTTGATTAATAAACCCTATTCATACATTCACCATACATAATATAAAAATATTATTGAAACTTGATGTAGTTTTGTTGTTGTAAGTTCAACAAACAACTAATAGCAATAAAACTAACTTACCTAGTTGATATTTTTTCAGAACTTTTGTTAAATATTAAAATGAAAAATTCCTAGACCTACAATGACATAAGTACATATTTTATTTATAAAACTATTTGGCGGTATATAATTGTATACCGTAGTTAGATGCCACTTTTAGTTATATCACAGCATTCAATTGATTTCCATAAATTTAAAAAACCACTGTGCTCACTTCCATTATGTTAGTTTTCATTTTCCTCTATACAAAAAAAAAATAAATTTATTCAAAGATTACTTTCTATTAATCGAGTTGCGTTTGTATAACTCGAACTAGTTAAATTTCAACTCGATATTAATCCGAGTTATCAGATACATAACAACACTTACAAATCTATTCTCTTTGGTTTAACGTCATGAATTGACGTTTAGATCCAACAATTTGTGCTGCCATCTAGTGACACAATTTTCTGTAGTTTCTTTATTTTTTTTAAATACTTCCTCATAGTAAATACAACTTTCAAAGTCTGTAGGACATAAGTTGAACATATAATTAGTCTTTATAGAACAAAGCGAAGGCTATTAATTCCATGCATTGCGATCCTTAAAATAATCATCAACTTTATAATAGCCTTTACTCACAAGTATATTCTTTACATGAATCTGAAATTTATTTATGGGTAGGTCAATTACATTTTGTGGAACTTTATTGAACATAGCAATACATTTACCCAGAAATGATCCTCTGGTTTTTTGAAGTCTGAAGCTTGGAACGGCAAGTTTATCTTTATTTCTTGTGTTAAGATTATGAACACTACTTTTTTTTGTGAAGGAATCGTAATGTTTTCTTGTATACATAATATTCTCATAGATGTATTGAGAGGCAACAGTCAGAATATTTATTTCTTTAAATATTTCTCTTAGAGATTCCCTAGACCGTAAATTATATATAGCACGGACAGCTCTCTTTTGTAAAATAAAAACATCCTGAATGCTAGCCGCAGAACCCCATAACAATATACCATACGTCATTACACTATGAAAATAACTAAAATATACCAATCTTGCCGTTTCAACATTTGTCAAGAGTCTAATTTTCTTAACAGCAAAAGCTGCAGAACTCAGTCTACTTGACAAGCTATCAATATGAGGATCCCATTGCAGTCGGGAATCTAGTGTAATACCAAGGAACTTTGTCGATTCTACTAACTCAACTTTTTCACTATTTATATTTATAAGTGTACTGACATGCTTCACATTAGGTAATGCAAACTTTATGCATTTCGTTTTATTTGAATTGAGCTTTAAATTATTATTATCAAACCACTGTAGAACGTTGTCGAGAGCATTATTTACATCGTCAAAACAATCATTACCCCTCTCAACTTTAAACAGTAAAGAGGTGTCATCTGCAAATAATACTGTCTCGCACAAATTCTTCGTAAAGTGAGGAAGATCATTTATATAAATTAGAAAAAGCAATGGTCCTAATATCGATCCCTGAGGTACGCCCATAGTAACTGGTACCCCTGCAGATTTCACTTCATTGATTACTACCTTTTGAATTCTAATTCTAAGGAACGGATACTCCAATAACTTTTTGAGGTCGGTACCGTGTCATTTTAAGAAGTAAACAGCACTATCAGAAAATCGATTTTTCTCTTACCAAACATGATATTGTTCATGTAAATATCTGAAACCGATTACAAAAAAAATTTTTGGTGTAACCACTTCTTGTATTTCTTAATAAGGCCGCCAATTGTACTGTTCTGTTTCATTATTATGTATTGTTAATTTACTGGTGTAAAGAGTCATTCATTCATTCATTCATACTTATATTTACCGGATAAACATTTTCTGTGGTAGAAGCAGTTCCAACCTAACCTAATTACTATTGTTAAAGCAATTCATTTTTATTGGGGTCGCATTTCTAACTTTACCTTAGCTACTGTTCTGGAAACAGTTCGTTTTTTAAATCATTTAGTAAGTTTTATCTTATATTTTTCCCAAATTGAAAAAAGTAAATCAAACAAAAACATAATTTCAATCAATGTCGAATTTACACACATACAAACATATTATACAGAGAGGAACAAAATGATCGACACAGCCGAAAGTTTCAAGTTAGGTTACATGCAAACGATCATTTTATTTGACAAATATTTAAAAATAGAGGAAGTGAAAAAATGGAGTAAAAATTTTAAATTTCTAAGTGTTGACAACCCTTTAACGCGCATGCGCCATATCGATTGTGCGCAGATTACAACGGACCGCGAAATACATTAATTTAATTTAATTATTTACCGATATCTTAATAATAGTCGATGCTGAAAATGTTCAATTCTTCTCTGAAGACAGCTCAGCACGCTCTTTTGCATGCCAGTGTATGCAAAAGATATGCACGCGCAAAACACATCACATTTCGCACAAAACTAAACACAATCTTCACTAAACTAAACTTAACACTCGAGACGAACACTCTAGTATCTTATTAACAAATTTCAATTATAAATGCACTAGAACAAAACAAAAATCGACAAAAAAAGACGCTTCGCAGCGGTGCGTCGGCGGCGATGCGCAACAATACTCCAGCGCAAAAGGTCGGCGACGACTGAGCGGCCAGAAAATACCGACAGAATAATGAAGCCGCCTGGCGGCTGGCTGGTGGGTGGGGCTTTGATATCGAGGGACGAACTCGGTTCACATTTTTTTAGTCGCCTTTTGATATCAGGAATTTTTAATGTTCTTTTTAAATGCTATTTTAATAACCAATTCCTCAATGTTTTTAAAACAAAGTTCATTTGTGTTAATGATGAATCGCTGGAAGATTTGTGAGTTTATCGAGTTTAATTAACGATCCCGTTGTTAAAGGAGTATTACCCCATTCAAACAATTTTTTTGGAGAACTGCTCTTTTAAAATAACGTAGTTTAATGTTAGAATGATCTCTCTACAATAATTTAGGAAATTTTACACTCGGTTTCTTAATTGAGAATTTAAAGTTAAACGTCTCAAACTAACATCACTAAGTTTTCGTTTCCGATTTTAGTTTTTTGATGATCAGTTGATAGCAGTTTGATAAAACTAGGACTATTTGTCTTGTGAAATCAAAAAAAAACTTAGGTTATTGAGAATAAGCAGTAGAAATTTTCTACTTTCAAATCAGAAACCGGCTGTTAGTCTGTAAATCGATTTAAGCATTTTGACTGCCTTGTTTATTGATTGTCTGGTAGAATTTGCATGAATGCAGTCTTATAAATCACAAACTAGTTTATTTCGTTTTTAGAAATGAAGAAGTCAATGACCGATTAAAACTTTTCCTTAGTACGTCCCAAAAACAGCTGACTCAGGGTTGAAAACACTCATTTTTTTTCAAAAACTTTGTATTTTAATATCTCCGAAACTATTTGACCTAGACTTATATTTTTTTTTACATAATATTAAAAACAAATAGTACTCTCTAGGAACCTCGGGAGTGTCGGTCGTTCTGTTCCACCGAGTATATCTCCAAAATATAGCATACGTTTATGTTACGCCATATTCCATAAAAGTTCATCAATTTTAACTCTTTTTTTAATTTACCTTTTTTAATATATATCTACAAAACTACTAAGCCGATTTGATGAAACTTGTGTCGCGACGAAACGTAAGAAAAACAGGTAATATTTACAAATTGAATATAATATCAAACTAGTGACATAGCAACATTAGCATTACTAGGATAATGAGGAAGTATTTAAAAAAACTTTAGTTCTCAAAATCAAACAAGATGTCGCTACGGTACGTTCTCGATTTCTCCATGACAACCCTTCCGGTTTTCTTTCATGTTTAAAAGTAAATTAGTTTTCAAAACTAAATAAGCAACTCACATTCTATTTGCACTTTTTCGTATTTGTATCTTCATATATATAAAAATTTTGTGTCACGATGTATGTTGCCAATAAACTTCAAAACTACTGAACCTAATACGGGTACATGTGAAATTTGATTGAAATTCAAATTTCACATGTACCCGTATTTTCATGTTTCTAAAGCAAGTGTTTATTTACTGTTTAGTTTTATGAAGTTCTCATAGATGGCGGTGTACCGTGATTCATAGATAAAATTCTTCAATAACGTTTGACATCTAGGTTGCAAATACACCCAATAGAAAGCGCTGTGTTCTAGATGGCGTTTATTCTAAAGTAATCTGCGGTAACGTTTCTTTCAAAGAATTTTGTGTAGATTACGTTTTCGATTAAGTTTTTTGTAAACTTCAGAACTGTTTTTTTTTTAATGTAAACGAATAAAATGTACTAATTAATTATTTCTTAAGCAAGTGTTTATTTACTGTTTAGTTTTATGAAGTTTTCATAGATGGCGGTGTACCGTGATTCATAGATAAAATTCTTCAATATCGTTTGAAATCTAGGTTACAAATACACCCAATAGATGGCGCTGTGTTCTAGATGGCGTTCATTCTAAAGTAATCTGCGGTAACGTTTCTTTCAAAGAATTTTGCGTAGATTACGTTTTCGATTAAGTTTTTTGTAAACTTCAGAAGTTTTTTTTTTCATCTGTATTTCAAATTACATTGAATTGGATTAATATATCTAAAGTTTCAAAGATAAAGTGCTGAAACATATTAGACATTTGTTGGTTTTTTGTTGTACTATCTTCGAACTTAAACATCAAGGTAATTTCATCATCAGCTCAAAAAACAACAGCGTTTTTGGAAAATATATGTTGCCCAAAGTAACTATATCACGCGGACGAAGTCTGAGGCAAAAGCTAGTTAATATCTAAGTTTCGAACTTTTCTAATTTCTGTTTTTTAAAAGAAACGGAAATGAATGTCTTTGTTCCATTCGTTTCCTGCAAAAATTAACTTTTGCTAGAGTCGCCATTTAGTGGAGGTGCTTTTTTAGTGCTTTCTGTTTTTTTTAAATACTTCCTCATTACAGGCTGTGTAGACAACGGAATACCGAGTTATTTCTTTGTAAATTCTCACTTTTTTATTTTTGAAATTAAAATATCCACGTCCGGATATTCGTTTCAGCTCTTAATGTCAAATAACAATCAGACGCAAAATGACTCTTTCTCGAAGTCAACTTCTTATAATGTCAACTTCTCTCAATGACAACTTTGCATTTGGTAAACTTCTTATTATGTCAACACCTTAGATAACAAATTTGCATAATAAAAACTTCATGAATTATTTCTTAATAAAGTCAATTATTAATTTACTATAATAAAGAAATGATTCGATAACGTTATTGTTCAGTAACAAGTAAATATATAGGTAAATATAGGTATACAACATAGGTAGGATGGTATCTGTAGATTATGAATATAACACCCGATTATCAACCAACTGTAATAAGCGGTATGTGTCCTCACATCTTTTCAAAATACAAAATGAAGCACAAAATAATGTCAAAAAACATAATCTACAAAAAACTTCTAATTCTAGTTAAACTTTTTTGATTTGTCAAACTTTTTATATTAAAATATGAAGTTTGACAAATCTAAAAGAAAGCCGCAAAAATAAAGCTTTTTAAAAAAAAATGAAATTCTTAATAATAATGCCTTTATTTGCAACAAATAGGGTTATATATACAGTTGAATCACTACGTCCATGTTTAACTAGATCCTGGGCGGCCAGTCCGTGTACTGTCTCCTTATGTTTAGAATATAATCTGTGTATAAGTGCACAACTCACTCTTGACCTTTTTTCTTATCTATTATTATGAAGTCTATTGTTTTTGGTTCTGTCTTTTAGCCGCCATGTAAAGCTGGAAACAAATTATCGGACGCGGCTGACGGACGCGGCTGACAGCCGCGAAGTTTGCACAGTCTTCAAGGACGTGGCTTGCGGACACGTTTCGATGCCTATTCCACTAAGAACTGTTGACGAAGAAACATGTCGAGTAATGAAAGTGAGGACGAATTTTTCGAATTAGCGGCGGCGAATTTTCGAAGTGTGGTGAATTTCACACTTTGTATCCACAATTATTAAGAGATGAATGTCGCTATAAACTTGATTTGAGAATAAATGAGGATCCATTTAATTCTTTTGCTAAATATAATCGAAAACGACATTGAAAAACAATCAACACAGTTTCGTACTCCTATATGTTTTTTAAAACATCTTTATAATCCTTCAATTTGGGATTATAAAGTAATTCTTTGTTGCGAACACACTATATAATTCGTTCCTCCTTTTTAACGCACGTGGACACGTGGAATCTCTCGCGTCGTCAGCGTCCTTCTGATGCAAGGACGCGTCCCGCACCCCGTGCATACTGTCCGCGGACGTTTTCGGCTGATAAAAACATCCAGCGAGCCAGATTCCTGTCGGACGTCCGAAGGCTAAAGGTCAGCCCAAGGTTACGTCCACGACTTAAGCTGGAAACAAATTATCGGACGCGGCTGACGGACGCGGCTGACAGCCGCGACTTATAAGTTTGCACAGTCTTCAAGGACGTGGCTTGCGGACGCGTTTCGATGCCTATTCCACTAAGAACTGTTGACGAAGAAACATGTCGAGTAATGAAAGTGAGGACGAATTTTTCGAATTAGCGGCAGCAGCTTTATGTTGTCCAGCCAGAAAGAAAATAAAAAGAAGTTCGTCCACGTTTAGATCCATGACATAAATAAAGTGTGGTGAATTTCATACTTTGTATCCACAATTATTAAGAGATGAATGTTGCTATAAACTTTATTTGAGAATGAATGAGGATCAATTGAATTTTTTGCTAAATCTAATCGAAAACGACATTGAAAAACAATCAACACAGTTTCGTACTCCTATATGTTTTTTTATAACATCTTTATAATCCTTCAATTTAGGTTTATAAAGTAATTCTTTATTGCGAACACAATATATAATTCGTTCCTCCATTTTTAACGCACGTGGACACGTAGAATCTCTCGCGTCGTCAGCGTCCTTCTGATGCAAGGACGCGTCCCGCACCCCGTGCATACCGTCCGCGGACGTTTTCGGCTGATAAAAACATCCAGCGAGCCAGATTCCTGTCGGACGTTCGAAGGCTGAAGGTCAGCCCAAGGTTACGTCCACGACTTACATCCGATAGTCTGAACACCTTAGTGTACATTCATTACCTAGATGCCTATAAGTCGCGGCTGACAGCCGCGTCCGTCAGCCGCGTCCGATAATTTGTTTCCAGCTTTACATCCGATTGTCTGAACAGCTTAGTGTTCATTCATTACCTAGATGCCTATAAGTCGCGGCTGACAGCCGCGTCCATCAGCCGCGTCCGATAATTTGTTTCCAGCTTAAGAATTTAAATATATTTTACAAGCTTGCGTGAAGATTACATTTTAGTTATTTTAATTGTATTTCAGTTTTATTAAACAATTTATTATTTATAATAGCGTGTTTTCTGTGCCAAGGGCCATTATCAGACTCGCGCTATAAAGTGATGATATTTAAGTTTAAGAGCTTTGACCTGTTTAGCCATCTTGAACAGCATGCAAAAAAAAAAAGATAAATTAAGACTAGATTTTCATTTTGTAATTCAATCGAATATTTATAAATTAAATTGAAAATTAAACCAGAATCAGAAGTTTTTTTTTATGATTATGTTGATGCCTATTTTTAAGTCTTCAAAAAATATTACGTTTTTATATTTCCAACTCGAGTTATAACGATTGTGCCGACTCAACTTGAAGCGCAACATAACAATTTTACATCACTAATTTAACTTCGATTAGGATAGTATGTTTTTGATCATAGTTTTACGAAATAAACCAAGATAATGATGACACATTATGTTTTACGATGTTATCATAAATTATCAAAATCAGAAAATAGTTATGCGTATGAGAAATAGATTTGGGCCTATCTAAAGCATCAATAGTGTTTATAACTTTTAATATGAAGACCGTACCTTTGATTATTGATGGACATGATTATGACTCTACTTCTTTTATTATTGGATTAGTTTTGGCAATATCTTCTAGTCTTTTTATTGGTACAAGCTTTATAATTAAGAAAATTGCGCTTAAAAAAATAAATGCATTAGGAAATGTCAGAGCTTCAGCAGGAGGTTATGGATATTTAAAGCAATGGATGTGGTGGTTAGGACTGATAACGAGTATGTATGTCGTAATTATTATAATAACAGTTTCCTCCCCCAGGTACTATTATTATAAATGCCAAACTGTTTGTTATACTTTGACGCTTAAATCGCTGAACTAAGTTGACCTAAAAAAAGGATATGGGTTACCTTTTTCACAAAACAGTGGGTTAAAACAGGGTATAGAAGTTTGCAATTGGAAGCAACACACCATGCTGATGTTGTGGGCAAATATTTATTATAAAGAAGTTAGTTTATTTTATAAATGGAATTCCAACTCGGGGTTCTATCTAAATGTCTGTATGATTAAATCACAATCGACAGTTACAGTAACTTTGTAAGAACTATACAATGCATAGAATATATAATACTTATTAGTAAAATGTCAACTATTTGCTTTTATAATAGATGTTGATTTATGTGTAACAAAAATGGATTAATTATAGCAATTTCCTCATCAAGTCTTAATTAATTTAAAATAACAATTATATCTTTTTATAGTGCTTACAATATTCTGGAGTGACTGGTAATAAATAAAATGCTAATTAAATTTTTACAGTGGGAATTGGTGAGATGACTAATCTCTTGGCATATGCATTTGCTCCAGCAGCGCTAGTAACTCCACTAGGTGCTCTAAGTGTAATTGTTACAGCCATTCTATCTTCTAAATTTCTAAATGAAAAATTAAACTTGATTGGAAAGGTAGGTACTTTTAAAATAATAATAATTTACAATAATAAGGTCAACCTTTTCATGATATGAGTATTTTTTTATTTTACAGATTGGCTGTTTCCTTTGTGTTGTTGGATCCATTATTTTTATAATTCATTCACCAAAAACAGAAGAAATCAAATCATTTTTGGAACTTGTCGAGAAATTAGGCGACTACCTATTTTTATCATATGTGGCATCAATATTTGTGATGAGTCTTATAATAAAGATTTTTTTTGTTCCTAGATTTGGTAACACAAATATAGTTATATACTTATTATTGTGTTCAACAATAGGCAGTTTGACTGTAGTTTTTTGTAAAGCTCTTGCATTGGGTATAAAAGAGATGTTTACTGGTAGAGTAAATGTATTTTCACATTTTGCATTTTGGTTATTGTTGGTGGTTTCAATATTTTGTATCATGGTACAAATGAACTACTTGAACAAATCATTAGATATCTTCAACACCAGCATAGTTACTCCAATTTATTATGTTATGTTCACTCTTTTAGTTATTTTAGCTTCTAGTATTCTTTTTAAAGAATGGGAGCACATGCCACTTGACAATATTATTGGATGTTGCTGTGGATTTTTAGTAGTAACAACAGCAGTTTTTATATTAACTTTATTCAAAGATATGCAAGTTTCATTTAGGGATCTAAATTTCAATTCAAGAATAAGAAGGAGTAGCAATAATACTAGTTTAGAAACTGGTAACTGTATGTTAAATACATCTCAAATACAATAGTCACCCAATTAGGAAATTGTTACTACACAAACATTTCTTTGCCTGGGTTTGCTCTTATCAAAAAAACACATTCAACCCATAGTTAACCTGTTTCAATATTTTTGTCCATGCAAATACTCAGTTTAGCTCTATTTTTGTATTGTGGAAAAGTAAACAATTGAGCTTCCTTTTGTTAATATAGGCACCTACATTGTATATACTATAGATAAGCAGCAGTTTTATCTTTATTGTGTAAAAAGCTTTACTTATAGGAATAAATTCCAGAATAGGCATAACATTATGAAGAACTTTTATTTGAATTCCTTTGGAAAAAAATAATTTATTGAAACTGTATTTGGATTGAATAAATTTTTATTTTCTTAGACATAATAAGCATACTATTCATTTAAATGCTTACAATCAAAGAAAGTTGATATTAATCAGTCACAAGTAAACAGTAACAGAATGATAAATAAATGTTCTGCAAATGGGACATGTTCTTTGATATCTATATAAGCGTCTACAACATTCTGCACACAAACACACATGACGACAAGGTAACGTCAAAACACACTTTTGCCGTTCTTGGCATATTATACAGAGAGTGTCAGCGTTAGAGCCATCATCAACCTCATTTGCAATTAAATTCACTTCCTGTTCTGAAATATCTTGTCCATTTGCCATATGTGTAATCACTCTTACCTCAGAATCCATTATGTAATTATACACTGCATAATACAAATATAATATTTTTCTCACAGATAGCCAATATGTTTCTGTTAGCCAAGTCACTATAGTAACTCTAAAATGTATGCAGAGACGCCCAAGTATTATAGCTGCTGCAATTCCTACTAATGATTGCAAAGGCACGTCTGTTAAAAAATTTGTGAATTTCAGCAAAGCTAAATATGCATCCACCACAATATCGAAAATAATATTTCCAACAAATTTGGCACTTGCTTGTAGAATTTCAGGCAAGTGAATAGGTAAAAAGGTTAGAATTAACCATATGGTATTCCCGGATAAGACGAAAGCACCTTTTATTAAAATGATCACATTACAAAGTACATGCACTGCAGCATTTATCACAGTTTTGAATGAACTGATTACAATCCCAAGACCAAGAGTCGAGTCTGAATAAAGTAATAATATTCCTTTATACAGAGATTGTAAATGATTGGTAATTATTACCAAAATATCATTGACGAAGTGGGGTATCTCTTCAGTAAATATTCGTATATTGTCTTCATAAACAATTTCCAAAAATAATATTACATATTCAAAGATACTATAAACTGCATTTGAGACTCCCGCTACACTTGCAACTATTAACTTCCCCACAAATGACGCCAAGAGTAAACTTTTTTGAATTAATAAAGCGAATAAGTTCAAAATTTTCGCTACTAAAGAAATCATAATTCATTGTTGTATTTGTGTTTTATATCCTTCATGTTTTTCTCGTTCTCTGTTCTGTCTAGGATTGGGCAAAATATATCGATATTTTTTCTGAAAAATATCGATATAAATCATCAATTTTTTAATCCTGCGATATATTATAGCTTTCGATATTTATTTTCAGATATCAAATTCGTATCATAATCGATATATATTTTAAAGTTCTGCTGTCTGCTCATACGTCGCATCATGTATTTCTTAAATTTAAAAAAGAAGTAGGCAGTAGGCTGTATGAGTTTAGAAATAACAGTATACTGGGAGGAACAAAATGATCGACACAGCCGAAAGTTTCAAGTTAGGTTACATGCAAACGATCATTTTATTTGACAAATATTTAAAAATAGAGGAGGTATAAAATGGAGTAAAAATTTTCAATTTCTAAGCTTTGACAGCCCTATAACGCGCATGCGCAATATCGATTGTGTGCAAATTACAAACGAACCACGAAATACATTAATTTAATTTAATTATTTACCGATATCTTAATGATAGTCGATGCTGAAAATGTCCACTTCCTCTCTGAAGACTGAGCTAAGCACGCTTTTTTCAACGCCACGCATACACGCGCAAAACACATCACATTTCACACAAAACTAAACACAATCTTCACTAAACTAAACTTAACACTCGAGACGAACACTCTAGTATCTTATTAACAAATTTCAATTATAAATGCACTAGAACAAAACAAAAATCGACAAAAAAGACGCTTCGCAACAACACTCCAGCGCAAACGGTCGGCGGCGACTGAGCGGCCGGAAAATACCGACAGAATAATGAGGCGGCTGGCTGGTAGGTGGGGCTTTCATATCGAGGGACGAACTCGGTTCACATTCTTTTTATTCGTCTTTTGATATCACGCATTTTTTTAATGTTCTTTTTAAATGCTATTTTAATAACAAATTCCTCAATGTTTTAAAACAAAGTTCATTTGTGTTAATGATGAATCGCTGGAAGATTTGTGAGTTTATCGAGTTTAATTAACGATCCCGTTGTTAAAGGAGTATTACCCCATTCAAACAATTTTTTTGGAGAACTGCTCTTTTAAAATAACGTAGGTTAATGTGAGACTGATCTCTCTACAATAATTAAGGAAATTTTACACTCGGTTTCTTAATTGAGAATTTAAAGTTAAACGTCTCAAACTAACATCACTTAGTTTTCGTTTCCGATTTTAGTTTTTTGATGATCAGTTGATAGCAGTTTGATAAAACTAGGACTATTCGACTTGTGAAATTAAAAAAAAAACTTAGGTTATTGAGAATAAGCAGTAGAAATTTTTTACTTTATTAAATCAGAAACCGGCTGTTAGTCTGTAAATCGATTTAAGCATTTTAACTGCCTTGTTTATTGATTGTCTGGTAAAATTTGCATGAAAGCAGTCTTATAAATCACAAACTAGTTTATTTCGTTTTTAGAAATGAAGAAGTCAATGACCGATAAAAACTTTTCCTTAGTACTTCCCAAAAACAGCTGACTCAGGGTTGAAAACACTCATTATTTTTCAAAAACTTTGTGATTTATTATCTCCGAAACTATTTGACCTAGACTTATAATTTTACATCATATTAAAGACAAATAGTACTCTCCAGGAACCTCGGAAGTGTCGGTCGTTCTGTTCCACCGAGCATATCCTGCTTGTCTTTTTTGTTTCTTTATGACAATGATACTGCTTGTTGGTTTGGTTGGTATCATTGAGAGTGCTCCTGATGTTAATATCTGATAAATACTGATTTGTTTGAATAATGTAATTTTTGTTGTGTTGATAATGTTGTTTTCTTACCTATTTTAAATAAGAAAACAACTAGGTGTTCATTAGCTTTAAAATTTCGAATATTTTGAAATTTTTTTTTAGATAATCGCTAATTGCGCAAAAATATCGATATATCAATATATATTTTTGACAATATTTATCGATACATTTGAAAAATATGATTACGAAATATATCAATTTTTTTCCATATGCCAACCCTATTTATGTCAGATGATCCTTCCTTAATAGTCTGCAATGGTAGACAGATAACCCACAAACGACAATCGATCGATTTAAATGTTTAAACAATGTTCATCTCTATACCTATAATATGCACGGTTGTAAGTTGTCTAAACTACCCATATAAAATTAGAATAAATAGAATTTCCTCATTTTTGTAAATGTTCTGATTTTGTCCTTTTAACATTTCGTGAGTAGGGCTTGACGCATGAGCGAGCCATCGCTTCACTCGACTATTTGAGGGAACATAACAGCCCGAGGCACACGACACCACCGCAGAGATTTTTAAGAGAGCGTGACTACTCTTGTTACCAAATAAGTAATATAATTGAATAAAACTGATTTCTAGAGTAGGTCGAGTTGGAAGTCCATCTATTGTTCACAATATTATTGTAAGAACCAGAAAAGCACATATCTACCGTACGAATTAACATAACACCTGGCTCGACGTCCGCCGTCGACATGCTAGTTTCGGGGTGCGACCGCCTAACACAAAGTGTTGCCTTTCAATCCTACTAAGATCTGTAGGAGACGTAAGGGCAAGATCATTCCCGTCTCTGCGCTTCGTACAGTATTTGTTCAGTGTCAGTTTTCCGCTCAATCTGCAGTAGTTTATAATCAACTAAATTTAAAATTAAACATATATCCTACGCAACACTATATATGTAAAAAAGCAGTTGCAGATTGGCTTTAAAAACTGACCTACCTATGAAGGAGTAGAAAACTTGCGACCTTTATGAGATCATAAGAAATATGCACGTATACATATGCACTCACATACGTACATGCATGCCAAGACACACACACTCACGCACAAACATGCACTTACTGTTTTTTCCTTAAAAAAATGGTAAGAGCGAGAGATATCTCCAACACAAGTATTACTTATACTTGCAGGAATAGTCTTTTAAGAACCGTATGGTTGAATGGGTGGAGACAACTGGCCAGGGAGACTAAAGGATAATTGTCTCCCTCCGAGTTAGGTGTTGTTAGCCCGGGGACTGCGGTCCGACCGATGTAGGTTGGACGTTCTATTTATGCTAATTGAAAATGAAACTTATTTCGTGCAATGTAGGTTTCTTTGTTCTAAATGCCTTGTAGTTATTAATTTATGCTGTTTGTATTGGTACAGCGCCATCTCGTTATTTGCTGTTGAAACTTATTGCATTTCGTTTTGCTATAGATGGCTGTGACGATGCTAGTCTTCTCGCTATCGATTGTTGTGGCGATGTTAGTGCGATGAGTTAGATGTCGCTATGTATCAGTCGCCACAGTCTCACGTATTAATATGAAAAATAAAAGATTATTATTATTATCATTATAAGTATGAAACGGGACCAGCGCATAACGCGGAGAAATTCTTATCTAGTAAGTGGACGCGTGACGCTATGACAGCTTATGAACCCGGACGCTTGAGTGGTTCTAACACAGAACACAACGATTCTAGCATATAACCCTATTTTTACATAAATCAGGATTTTTTACTGCTTGTAACATGTTATTCGACTTCAAGCCATATGCGCAATCTATCATTTTTTTCTATGAAGGGTGTATTACATGGTTGTAATACACCCTTCATAGAAAAAAATGACATTACAACACCGGTATTACCGTATGTTCAGTTCTATGCATTTAATTTTAAATGACACCAAACAATGTTTAGATTATTTTTGGATTTTTGGTAAGATACTAATAACTATGATACTAAAAAAAAGTATTTAAATACAAGATACATATTTCTTCCTAAAAAAGTATATTAGATAGATGATGAAGATGAAAGTACTTATTCTGTATCTTGTATCTGTATTTCAAATACTTGTATCTAAGATAAATCACATCTCTGATTATAATAAATTTATCCTTATTTTTTTAAGAAGGATAGGTGGTCTTTTTTATTTAAAAATATACTCAGTATTTATTTGATCAAAACAAAATTTGCCGTTCGTTTACATTATACCTAATAAACATCAGTGTTTTAAAACAGAAGACCAATATTATAGCTAGGCTGTATGAGCTCTCACCCTTTGTGTCAAATAAAATTTCCCGCGTATTTCTATGTCAAATCCGTTAGTCTGACAAGTTTCATCGTAAAGCGTAAAATTTATTTCTTTATTTTCCCGTTCCTAAAACCATTCGGCTTGTATTTTTCATATGCAGTGATTTTAAAAATACATAATATTGTACCTTCACTTATAGTAGAATTTGTTACTATAATCACTATCTTAGAAAAGTTGCAGATATGGTTGGCAAAACCAATAAGCTGTATGTCTTGAAAAGGGGTGAGTAATATTTACTACTTTTCTGTGACACTAAAGAGTTTTTTATTGTGATAAATGTACATTTCGTTTAATCTGAGTGCCAGCCCTGACTTATCAAGGTTAATTTTATGAAGCAATCATTTTTAACGCAAGATTAGGACCTCCAATCATCGACACTGACGCATGCACTTGAGTAGTTTTCCAATATTTGGTTTCTCTTTATTCTATTACAGTACTTTAATGCTTTGAGTAAATATTTAGAATATTTGGCATAATATTTTAAAGTTAAAATGAGTGTGATGTATTTAATTGGAAAAATATACAATATAAAAGAGTTCTGTTTTTCCTAGTCATTGATTGTATCGCCCGGTTTCTGAATTGAGAATTTGACGTTGAGCACGTCTCAAACCGTGCTTAAGCAATTTTAAACGTCAATTAAACAGGTTTTCATTATTGATTTATTATTTTTTAATTATCAATTGATAGCAATTTAATAAAACAAGGACTTTTTACCATATGAAACGTAAAAAACTTAAGTTATTGAGAATAATCAGTTGAGATTTTGTGCTTTTCTCAATTCAGAAACTGGCCGTATGAGTTCATTTATCAACAACCTGTAATATGATCTGGTGACCGAGATCTAATATTCCAATTGATAAGTAGGCACTGTTGCAAGCATCATGATTACAAACTAACTAAACTCTTGCAGGAGCGTATTATTGGCATAGGTGTCAATCTACCTTCTTTATAGTCCTCCAAATTTAATCAATAAATACAAGGTAAATGGTAGCAGTCCCGTAGATAACTATTATACTAATGATGGATAAATAACATTAAAGATTTATGTAAAACTCATCAGTTTTTATATAAATGTTTGATCATTGTTTGAGAACTGATTTCGCAAACATTCATCATCATCTGTTTCAATATCAAACATGGCTCAGCTTTAGTATCGGCGACTATGCAGATTGTGTTGATATTTTTTTATACATACAGATACTAAAGAGGCATAAATTTCCAAAATATCAAAGTGCGGAGTGAGATAGTTTTGGAGATATAATTTTTTGAAAATACGTCTAAAATATTGTTTTGAACGAGGTTTTTTTTATGTTTGACAAATGTTTTTGTTTAAAAATTGACACAATTGAAAAGCAAAGTGATTCATGTACATACAGCTGATGGTATCATGATATTTTTTTATGTTTTATGTGACAAAAAAAATATGAAGTAACAACCAATTACAAATTGAACAGTTTATCAGAAAATTGTATCTTTTTTTTTTATTATATTTTAAATTCGCACATCGTTTATGCACCTTTAAATGCATACTGAGTATTTGTCGACGAAGAATGTTCTGTGAAATGAAACACGATTATACTAAACAAGCAGCCAACCGCCATGTTTGGTTATTCAAAGCTTTAATACGCGTTGCGACGGTATTTGTGTTTCGCTCGAGTTTTCTGTGAATGCCATTGCTATTTCTTCATGCATTCGACTGATTGTGGTGATAGTGAATGTGGTGAAGTGATACCGGTGTTGGACTCTATGGAACCGCCGGTTCCTTTGTGTCATGGTGAAGTGATGCCGGTGTTGGACTCTAATGAGCTGCCGGCTCCTTCGGAGAATGGTGAAGTGACGTCGGTGTTGGACTCTAATGAGCCACTGACTCCTTCGGGAAGTGGATAGAGATATCAATGTCGGTGGAGGAGCCTACCGAATCACAGGCTTCATCATAAGGGGCAGGTCGTGCACCACAACGATTGTACCTCTTCACTGAGTTATTATTGAAAATGTGGAATATGGAGAGTATAAAAGGTATGTTTAAGGTTTTTTGTACATTACAATGCTAATATAGAACCAAATTAGTCAACTTCAAATCTCACATAGTACTAGTCTGCCCTCCTCTTAGAGTGTTTTTATAAGCCTGGGCGGCTTAAATCCAATTCAGTGACAAAGTCAAATATTGTTTTATATCTGTAGGTCACGTGATAGGTTAGAATGTTATTTTTTTTTTCAGACCACAGACAGAACATGGCCTATAAAAATGATTGATATATGTTATCTTTAATTAAGATTCCACAAGACAAACTATAAAGAAAATTTTGAAGATTGGTGAATTGAATATTTAAGGCATTTAGAAATTTAAAAAAATCCATTTAGATGCTTTTGAAGAACTAATAAAAGTCATTAAATATGTTTATAAAATTTTATATTTTGTTTTTTTGTAACTCCTGTTTTATTTAGTTTATCTTAGGTTCTTAATGTATTTTCGAAATTTTAATTTATCTGGATGATGTAACAGCAAAATAGTTTTTTTCTTTTATTCCAAACTATGCTCCTCCGCGCTTTGGCGAGTGACGGGGAGGGATTTATCCCCCTCCCCCCTCCCTTCTGCGTACGTAGTAGACATGTGCGCCGATGCCGAAATCTTCGGCGGCGGCGTGGAGCTAAAAATTCAGTGACGGCGGCGTAAACGGCGTCGTTATGTCAAATGATGGAAAATTCAAAGTTGAACAATTTAGAATGCCTTTATTGACATAACAAATATAAGAGCTACTAAAATTAATAACACCTTTTAAGTAACAATCAAATATTGCACAACTACACTCTTCTAAATAATGTAACGTAGTCATAATGATATTAAACAATAATTTTCGGCAATCCATGTTCATGGGTTTAAGCCCCATCTGAGAATGCCGGGGACAAAGTGGATTTTTGAAGCATTTTTCATTCAGAATATAATTCTAAACATTTTTAATAAAAACACTTACATTTGACTAAAGGATGTAGGTACTATTTTGTTCTGTAACTATTTGCTGTCTTGTAGGTAAGGACTAGTGATGTGCCGAATCATTAAAAATGTATATCCGCGGATACGGATCCGAATACGGATATTTGGTGTCAAGATCCGCGGATACGGATACGGATCTTTATAATTAATATATTTTTCAAGTTCCTCTAATTTCCACTGGGTTTGCTCGTGTAATGTAATGTTTACACTTTAATATGGTAGGTAGTACCTACGAGGTACGCAGTATTAATTTACTTTCTAAGAATTTATTTTTGGTTTTCTCATCATTTCATTTTTATAAAAGTGATCTTATAACTTTCTTTTATATTGATGTCATTATAATTATTTCAGTTGTGATTTTCTCATTTTCTTATATTTATAAAATTGATGTTATAACTTTCAATAATATTGATCTTATTATAAAGATAGTCGACTAGTCACCTTTGAGCTATGTACTATTGGTATAGTAACTTACTACGATAAATGTTTGCAATATAAAGGTGCCAAATATTTTATTTTAAGAAATAAAAAATACTTGAATTGAATTTAATAGTTTTTTAAATCTCCGTCATCACCTTTATATAGCATTTCATCCTATCAATTGAAAATTAATAAGTTAAAAGATCCGCGAGAAAAGTAACGGATACGGATACAGATACGGATCTTTATTTTCCGTCGGATATCCGCGGATGCGGATACGGATACGGATATCCGGAACATCACTGGTAAGGACATGATCCCATTGCTATAGATTTTGGGGCTTCTAATCAAGAAACCGCGACAAGTGGTTTTGATAATCCTCGCGCGATATTAATCGGACACTGCCTAAAGAATTCTGAAGAGACCTAAACAGGTGGAAATTTGAAGGTGCAAAGTCAGGACTATACGGTGGAAGCATTAACACCTCCCAGCCAAACTCTTATCTTAATAAAAAATCAACCCCCATCTATTGATTAATCTGGTCGCTTTCTCTCAACTTCTTGCTTTAATCTCTACAGTAGAGTCCAGAATCGATGGTCTTGCCTGGCGGTAACAGCTCATAATGAATAATGCCTTCCCGAACCCACCATACAAACAGCATCACCTTTTTGCCAGTTAACCCGGGTTTCGCCACAGTCTGTAAAGTCTGACCGTTCTTTGACCACGATTTTTTTCGCATGTTCTTGTCGTACGTGATCCAGTTTTTATCACCAGTTACCAGCTTCTTCAAAAATGATCGGTTTCATTACGCCGTAATAAAGAATCACAAAAGAGTATGTACTCTTTTGAGATTCTTTATTACGGCGAACCGTGAACCGTGAGGTTCATTAGCTTTCTTTCAGTGAGCTCGGCTTTGTCGCAACTACAGATATACCGGTCTTGCTCTACTTTTTCAAAAACGGCATCCATTTTAATCGTAACAGGGCGACCGGAGCGAAGTATGTATATCTTTAACATCAAAATTTCCGGACTGAAAACCCTTAAACCAAATTTGTGCTACTCTCACAGAAACTGCACTAGGTTCACAAACGTCACAATTTGTTTTCGCGGCTTCCGTTGCATTTTACCTTTTTATAATAAAATTATAAAATGTATCTAAGTTCTTTATTAGATTTACTCATTTTAACAGTAAGAAAAACAAATGAAAATCAAACATTTTCCTAATTTGAATTCGAAATCTTTTTTCAAATTTAAACTTTTTAATGATGCCGAAACCAGCCACATAGAAATAGTGTAGCCAGAAAGAGTTTATCACAACTTTATGCATACTATATGGGAAAAGACTTTTTCCACACCCTAATAGTTATCATGCATAGAAATTATTTTATTGATATTATTCTCAATTAGACGCAATCGTTTAGCCGTTTTAGTAAGGCCAGCTACAGAGAATACACGTTCGCTAGGTGTGCTTGTAGCGGGTCAGCTAGAGTAGACAAAAAGGGTAAGTATATATGATTTCTGCCAACTCCATCTTGTAAATGGATGCTACATTAATTGTACAAGATTTCATTGTTTAAAGCTGTAATTAAAGAAGAAAGATTCGATTGTTTATTCGTTTGCATCTGATCATTGATTTTACTTTTGTATTCATTAAAATTTTACTAGATATGGAAATACGGATGGAATACGGAACTGAATTAACCGCAGAGGATGCATTACGTTGCTTATCCTATCTCGCGCCGTTTACGCCGATCTTTATTACCGGTAAGCGGCGGCGTGTCATGATCGGCGGCGTCTGTCATCGGCGCGG